TACTATTGTGCTAATTTAAAATTCTATTTCAACAACTCCCATTAATTTAGCATTTTATTGTTGTATTAAGTCCCTTTAATGTTAAGAGACTTAGTGTTTCATAAACATATTTATCTTTACATATGAATGCTACATATACTACACTCATTCTTCAATTGTCAGAAAGAGAAGATTTTTTACTATCTTATCTGAAAATGTTTCATTTTAAGGATGATGATTTGAAATCTTTCTCAAAAAATGGTTTGTTATTGTTCTGTATAGTAGACAAAAATGCAACAGTAAACGTTCATGAAAAGAAAGAATTTTCACCACCCACCATTGAAGTTTGTAAACTGAATTAACCCCATTGTGTTGTTCGTGGACAACTTGGATTATGTATCTGTCCTTATAAAACATCACAAAACAGAAAAACCTGGAAATGTGCAGGCTTAATAGTCATCAAGAACTCTAAGATGCGTGTTTTTTTTTTAATGATTAAAATAATTTCTAACTTAAATAGAAAAAAATGGTTCACAACGTAATTAGTAGAAACAAACAATAAATAGTTTCAAATTTTTACTAGCTTGGTAAAACCAATTAGTGTATAAAATGATGCAGATGTCAAAGGCAGACGTCCTTCATCTGTAGTAGATGTCCCAACAGCTGGGTCCAGTTCCAACTGAGAAAGAAACACACATAAGACACCAAGGAGTAACTGTTTAAACAGTTGCATTTTCATTGTGGTGGAAAAAAAAAAATAAGACAACAGGATCAAGAGCTATTCTTCTTGCTTCAATATGAAAATATTTATACTTAATGATTCATACAGAAAATTACAAGAAGAAAAATGAACAAGTTAAAACAGTTTAAACAAGATTGTTTGGTATTGTGATGGTCTGAGCTCAAAACCAAATGAAATGGATACCTGAATGAAGAAGGATACTTAAAGACTTCGGAACTGAAATATCTCCAGGGTTTACTATCCTTCAGAGTCATCTGAGCTATAGTGTCAAAAGATAGAAAATTTGTGTGAGAATTATTGGACAGTTAATTTTTTATCAAAAAGTTAACTGATTTAATGCATTTGTAACTAGCATTCCATGGAATTACAGGTTAGTCATTGTAATGAAAATATTTTTGAACAGAAAAAATATACAAAAGTATTATAAACCAGTAAATTTAGACAAAATTAAGGCTACCTTTTACCAATTGTATATTAGCAAACACTTAGCCGCCTTGACGGAAGCAGTGATCGTTGTCCAGTCTAAACTTTGTGTGTTGTCAAAAAAAAATCCTGAACATCTTTCAGCCTGGCTAAAAGTTTACGAAGCTATTTCTAAGGCTTTATGACTCCAGTGAAGTACACAACCACTTATCAATCCAGATGTTTGTTTTTTCTGGTTTTTACAATTTCCAATAAAATCCTAATTTCAATGTTTTGTCTTTTATTTATTTATTTATTTATTTTACTTTTTTCAGGTATTTTTTTATTTTTATAAGTGGTTTGATGATATTAAACATTTGTGCAAACAATAAGAAATCTGTAAATGGATTGTATTTAGTTTCAAGTAAAGAATCTCAAACATTATTACATAGTAGTTAATGTGCTTTTTTCTCTTTGGCAGTATGTTTTACTTTCACCCAGTTACACAGACATTAACAGCTAAATTTTAACCTGCCTCAGTGTTTTTACATTAGTCTGTTATTAAAAACCAACAAACACCATAAAACACTTGAAGATGAATGCTTGTACATTGTTTCAGGGATTTTCAGTTAATTTAACACTAAAATGGAATCAAAGTGTTCAACTTTACCGTGTATTTACATGTAAACATGCAGAAGTTGAAGGGAGAGAACATGAAATAGGGAAAAGGAGCAAGACGAAAAGCTTAAATGTTTATATACAGCTCTGGTAAAATGAGAGCTTGATCATATAAAATGATCAATCTCTCTGATTTTAGTTTTTTACATGTTTGAGTAAAATGAACATTGTTCTTTTATTTTATGAACTACTGACAACATTTCTCTCATATTCCAAGCAAAAAGTTAGTATTTAGTTGCAGAAAATTAGATATGGTCAAAATAATAATAATAATAATAATAATAATAATAATAATAATAAGAAGAAGAAGAAGAAGAAGAAGGTGAAGATTAAGAAGAAGAAGAAGAAATGCAGTGCATTCAGACCTCAAATAATGTCAATAAATCAAGTTCATTATCATGTAGAAACAATAATACTTATGTTTTACTCAGAAAAACTTCATAAATCAATATTTGGTGGAATAATGATGAGGTTTTCAGTGGGGTTCAGTGCACTGGTTTCTTAATATTTTTCAGAGCTGTATATAAAGATATCCAGTTATTTGTAAGTTTAAAATATAATATCTCACCATCGCCTCCAAACCCAAAAAATGCAGAAAAAAAGTGCAAGTGAACAGCCAACTGTGAAGGAAATGAAAGAAAATAGATATTTGATCATTTTACATTTCAGTCACAGAAAATGATAAAATTCATTTCAAAGAGGCACTTTCATTCATGTTACCTGCCACGCCTATCAACAGTAGGTTTAAAGGAGGTTCAATTTCTGCAAAGATAAAATAATATTAAAACCAAACCCAAGAGATTTGCTCTTTAGATAAGAGCAAAACTAAAGATGTTGCTCTTTTCTTTAGATTTCAAAATACTCTGGTCTGCAAGTACAAAACAGTGTAGTCAATGGATTTACAAAATGACAGCAAAGGTCCAATTAAGTATTTTTAAGGAAAATATCAACATAGTTAAATATGCACAATTCTTCGGAAAACTAATGAAAAATCCTTATAACTTATGATTCTCCAAACATGCCATGTTACTTCTGCGATTCTTTCGTAATGCAATGACTCACCAAGGTCGTCTCCAGAGCAGTGATCAATGTAGAAGTTTTCAACTTCTGCATTGTTTGAGAAATCTATAATTTATTTACTGCTGAGGTACACAGAAAATTCACTTGATTATGATATAAAAGAAAAAAGAAAAAGAACTGGTGGAGTGACAAATTTTAGATTAAAATTTTGCTTTCCAACTTCGTTTAAAAATACATTTTCAAAATTTCTCAGAAGAAAACTTTTGATACTTTTTAATAAAGTGGATGCTGATGCACTGGTTGTAGTAATAGTTTCATCCGATGATATTTTCTAGACTTTAAATGACAAAGTTAGCATAACTCTTGTTATTAACTAATTTGGATAAAATACATGTTTCCTCAAAATACCCCAAAACTCCCTAGTAAGGCTGCTTCCCCCACGACCCGACTCAATATATAGATGTGGTAAGGAAATCATTAAAGGGGACAATTTATTTTTTGATGAACTTTATGTAAATATTTATTGTCCTCCAGTGAATGTGTCAAAAAAAAAAATAAAAATGCAAAAATATTCTTGTTACTTATTGTCAAGAAAATCCAAGATCATCCCACTTCCCCATGCTGGAGATTTTAGTTAACAGTAACATCAAATAAAGTTACATTTAAAATTAGTCACACAAGTGACATCTAGATGCAACAGTATTCCCAGACTGCAATAAAATAAACCTGGTTGTGTGTGATGTTTTTGTCTCCTGCAAACTTAGCTTTAATTATATTTATTTTTTCCTATCTAATCATAAGAAATCATAGTCGGAGAGAAAGATAGGACAGGAAGAGCATGTTTCCTAAACAAAGAGGAAGTAAGTTTCCAGCTTGCAGATATATAAAAATAACTGAGACCAGTCCTTATTTAAAAGCACAAAAGTTTTAAAGGATGAAATATAAACATTTTGAGAAATTAGATAAAAGTTAAAGTAAAGTACTTATATTAATATTGGTTTACTTATGACAATACTTACATTTACACTCTCACTTGTGGGAAAACTTACAAGTAAAACAAGTAACTGTAACTTTGGTATGAAATAATAATAAAAGAGTAATAAGTTGTGGTTATCTTAAATTATAAGTTAATGCTAAATCAGAAAAACTAAAAGGGTTATGAATGTGATTCTAACATTGAACTTGAAATGGTGTAAAACATGTAACTGCTATTAAAGGTCACTGATGATGTGTTGGAGGTGGATAGTAGGTGAAAGGTTAGGGGTAAAATGGGGACTAACAGGAAAGCAGAGATGACCAATGCCTTTTTAGGACATAGATTGTTGAACAACTTAAACGTGTCAGAGAAAAGACATGGGAGGAACGTTGAGCAACCCTGAGACATTAGCCAAAATATCAGGACAAAAGGTCTGTAAGACCTCTAAGACCTTTTGTTCTGACCAGTGAACAGATGAAATGAGTTCATCTGTCCAAACAGTTAACCAATAAAACAAGCACAGCAACAGTGTTAGCCAATGCAAATGCACCGAAAGCGGGTATAAACCCAATATAAGGGGAGAGCAAAAGAGGAATCTTTGGTTGGATCCTCCAGGCAGCTTCGGGCCAAGACCAAGATGGACAAAGAACTCTGCAGCTGAAGACGGGGCCACAGAGCTGAAGACTGTCCTGCACATGGGGACCAACCCATCAGCAACATGTGGCTTCAAATCGCACTTCTCTCATCAGCTGGGTTCAGACCCCAAAGACAAAGATGAAGACCCCAAAGGAAAAGATGAAGACCAAGGCAAAGAAAAAGATCCAAGTCCTGTGTGACCTCACCATCGATGCAGAGATAACAGCTCATCAGATCCACAGAGATCCCTGCCTTCATCGCTCAACCACCTCCTCCTGCTGACACATCTTCTTCTTCATCGAGCCAGTTCTGGGATTCGAAACACCAAAGTCTGTCTGTCTCTCTCAAAGGTTCCCTTTTTAGTTCTTAGTATCAGTGTTAGGGAAAGATAGGCTAGATGATTGATTGTACTTATTTGATTATATGCTACTTAATTAAGCTGTACTGACCCTTGCAAAATTGCTTTACTAATAAAATATTTAGCATAAAGAATATCTAAAAGACATTCAATTAATGAGTCACCTCAAAGATCTTTGATGGTAGTAAAATAGCTATGACATTTGATTCTGGGGAAGAAAAGTGGGTAATGTTTTATAGGTTGCTTTAGCCCAAATTTAAAACAACATCCTTGGGACTCGCCTGAGTCACTAAAACCAACCTGATTCAGTAACAAGTGCAAGTTATAAAAAAAGAGAAGGAGCGACCGTTAACAGATGTCCTCTGTGAAACTAGTTGGCTGTAGGCTGCTCAGTCTGGCAAATTCACAGGGGGAAGAAGGGTGAGACATCTGGATGTAGGTCGTAGAAATCAGACGAATCCTTTCTCGAAACCAGCTTAAACAGAGTTTACTTCAGTTCTGGATAGGGTAAATCCCAGCAGATTTGGGAAACTCAATTCACCCGTTAGATGGAGAGCTGGTAGAACATCTCCCCTCTCAGAAGAGGAAGTAGTGACTGAGAGAGTAGAGAGTGAAGGAAGGGGGTTGGAGGGTGTCGCGGCAACGACAGTATTCTATACATTGTTTTGTTGCAGGAGTAAATGAAATACTTATTGTTGTAATTTTGCCTTCTGTGGTCTATTCTGTGACAAAGGATTCAGCCGCAATCCTCCTGAGTTCATGTCTTCTGCATTTTAACATATTCTAAATATGCAATGTGAAGCTAATTTTAATTTGGCATGAACAACACACTTTATCTATAACTGTCATTCATCCACCATCCATTTGTTTTTAGGTTTAGCTCTTAGTAATTACCTATCTTGCAACGTTCTATGCAAAACTTATCTCCTCTAAAATATGTTAGCAAGGCACATTTTGACAAATGATCAACAGGTTAGGGTAAAATAACTTTCATATTCAAGGACTCACTCTTGCAGATTAGATCTGGTTCAGTCCAAGTCCCATCAATGCAGGTTATGATCTCAGAGCCACTTTCTTTTTCAAATCCATTGGCACACTCATATGTAACTTTGGTACCATCTGGGAAATCCTCTCTTAGGAGGGATTCATTCGTGAGAACCATGTTCTCCACACTTTCAGGTATGGGGCAATTACCTAGGAGGAAATATAAATCTTGCATGAGCCTTGTAGTTGAGCAGCATTTCATCTGCCATTACCCAACTGTGATAGTCTATACAGACCATAATCCATTGGTTTTCCTGAACCGTATGTATAACCACAACCAGCGGTTAATGCGCTGGGCTTTATTGGCCCAAGAATACAACCTAGACATTAGGCATAAGAAGGGGGTGGACAATGTGATAGCTGATGTACTATCCAGGATATAATGTTGCTTATCTCACTGTGGTATTGTAGTTGAAGAAATGTTTATGTAGGATTTTGTGGGGGAGTGTGTTACGGTCACTGACCTCTAGGGGCTCTCTTCATAAGAGAGTCCTCTCTCTCTCTGTGTTTCAGATGCACAGGTGGAATGTGTTGGAGCTCATCAGCCACTCCATAAAGAGCTTCATACAACCAGTGTTGGATCCCTTCTTGTTTGGGCCTTGACCTGATCTGACACTTTGACTGGTGACTGAGTGATTTTGGCTGTGAGCCTTTTGAAGTGTGTGTCTAACCAAAACCCTGTTGTTGTTGTTGTTGTTTTTTTTCACAGTGGAAGTTGGTAGGGGTTCTCTGCCATTTGTGTTCAACCATTTTTCTCCTGTTTTGATGGCTAGTCAGGGAGTTCAGGTTTTGTACTTTCTTTTCTTCTATTTACCATTAGAAAGTTCTTTTTAATTTTTTTAGCTCGACAGGGGGGGTGTTTTGTTTTTTTGGCCTTGGAGACCCTGAAGATAAATACTTCCCTGTGTTCTGTTCTTTGTTTTAGTTGACTTACCTGCACTGTAAATAAATTATCCACATTTTGCTACAGACAACTGTTGGTTTTTTGTGTTACAACCAGCGCCAGATTTTACCCTTATTGGTCTTGGGGGGGGTTGTGTAGCTGGAGCCTACCAACAAGACCACCAAGGCCCCATAACGACTTATATAGTAATTGTTGATTTTATAAATTTTGTTCAACTAAATAACTTGAGATCATGTTGTCAACCATTTCCTAACCTTGGTGATCACTCCTCTACTTTCAGTTCTTCTAAAGCTAGGATTATTGTTGACAATTTGAACTGGGGCCAAGTGTGTGCCTTCTTGGGGACATACAAATATTTGTGGGGATTGTTCTGCATACACCATCTTTCACTCAAATTGTATGGCTGCATTTCAACTCATTGTATGATTACAGAGCAGGTTGATCTTTACCAGCATTTCTATGAACCCTCTCTGAGGATTCATTTCTGAAGAATCAGGGATGGATTTTTTTTTTTTTTTAACTGGCCACATGGGCTGGTAAAGAAAACTTTTCATTGTCGACACAAACATTTCACAAGCCACTGTTTTCTTACCACATTCTATGTTAAGTGGCTCTCATTGTGCTTAACGGGAACCTAAAAGCTTCAGAAATAGCTTGACAATTTTTTCCAGATTGATAAATATCAGAGATGTTGTCATCTCATCATAAAATAACTAAGAACAAGTCATAATATGTTGCTTTTTTAGTTCTTCATAGACATGTTGTCTGGGAGTTTCAAAGTATATTTGATGCTTCTTATTAGTTCGGTGTGAAATCTACAAAAGGCTGGAAATACAGTGTATATTATTATCCTCTAATGAATGTGTCACAAAGTATAATATAAACACAATGATAAACTATGGTGAGATTTGTGCTTTTATTGTACATACATTGATTTGTGGTTGAACTTCGTAGTTGTCTTTTATATATAAAACCACAACTCTGAGGCACATTATTGAAAATATTGTAACAAGACATTTTAATTTCTCTTCTTTTACAATTTCACTGCAAGAACAAGAGTAAGTTTGTTTCATTTACGGAAGAATATGTAGGTAAAGGCCCATCTGGGAACGTGCATTATGAACGAGCTAGGGATGTAAATATTATATCACTCATAATTTGTTTATTCTTGACACTTATTCCCATTCAAATAAACAATAAAGACAGAGAACTCAAATTTCAACTCATGCTATGGTTTGCTTTTTGATTATGTTAGAATTCTGATGACACTTGTTCAAAAACCTGTAAAATTAATAACAATTAACCATTAGCCATGTTGCATTAAGGGTTTCATCTCAGGATGGATTATTGTTAGTTTTATACAGTGGTGAAATGATAGGTGGGACAATGAGCTAATTTACAAGTAGTGGAGAGAAGATTTGTGTTTATGTGTTTGAAGCTTTTGTATCTTGTCTCAGCTAACTGATCTTCTATCAAGCCTGAAAAAAAGCACAAGAACTTACGGACACATCGTGGTTGCTCAGAATCATATTCAGCACTTTCAGTACACATAATGGTTTCATTCCCAAACAAGGTGTATCCTGCGTCACATGTGAAATGTATACTTTGCAGATATTCTGGTTCACGGTCACTATTCCAAGAATGTTCGCCATTTTCCACTTTGATCGGTTTGGAACAAGTAAGAGCTGGAAAAATTGGCAAAAGAAAAAAAAATTGCTGTTTCAATCAAAGTCAAAGTTTATTTTTATTGCTCATTTTTAACAGCCTCAGCAGAACAAAGTGCTTCACAATAAAAACAACATCGCAGGCAGATAAAAAAAGATCAAATAAAATTACGTTTAGCAAAAATAATAATAATACAATTAGCAAAATTTCAAATGAATGAAAACCAAAACAGTACATAATTGTAGAAGCAATTTACCTCCATCCTTCCATTCCAGGCACAAAGTGCTTCAGTAAACTGTGTTGAGAAAAGAGAGAATATTTCAAACTGATCAACACTTACGGATACAGTCTGCGATTCCAAACCATCCTTCGTCCGCGCATATTTTGGAGCTTGCTCCACTGACCCGGTAGCTGCATAAAGACAAAGGAAGTCTTAAAGACTGATACAATCTGTTGAGCCATGAAAAAAAAAGTTTAGTTCGTGAGTCAGATTTAATAATTAAAGATTATGGTAAATTTTCTATTTACTCTTTTGGAGTCATAGTTTGCTGACAGGATCCAAACGCCCCGTGTTTTCAGGAGGATGTAGGCTATATTTCTTCCCAAACTAACACTGGCTATATAAATTTTATAAAAGCGCAAGTTTTCTGTTTTAAAGAATAATTGTACAGCACATACACACACCTACTCATAGCATGTTGCTCAATGTCATAAAGGGGAGGAAAAAACTAATAAAAAAACACTTCTGCAGTTGACAAAGCAGGGTTTCCACCAGAAAACATCAGAGCCCAGTGGTAGGGGCACCCAGGCGGTCAATCGTGTTTTTGTGTAAGAGGATGTTAAGCTGACAGAAAATTTAAAAATATGAAATGTTACAGGAAGATATCACCAGTGAAATGCTATTTACACCAACAGCAATAGTCTTACAAGCAACAAATAAAAAAAATACAATTAAAATGAGTAAAAGTAAAGCCTGGCAGGCCGCACAGGTTATAATACACTGGGGGAAAAGCTGTAAAAGAATAAAGGATTACCCATAAGTGCTAATTAATAACACAACATAGGAAAATTTGAGGTAATATTAGCGTTTTAACAAGTTTTCTGCCAAAAAAAAAGAGCACAAGATTATTTTGTTTTGATCAGCATTATATGAAAATAGGGGGGACAACATAAATAAGTTGCTTTTCTCATGCAGCAGTTAGATGGAAGGAGAGTGAAAAACCTCTCAGTGGTGGCTGTGGCAGCATCAATCAATACAAGAAAAGAGTTACTATACGATTATTGATGTGTGGATCGGAATTTTCTGAAATAAAATACTGTAGTCGAAATAATAACAACACATGAAACATAAGTTTTTAAATATTATTGTATTAATATTGATAGACTTACATGGACTATAAATAATTACAAACTAACCTCAGCTCTTATAACAAGAAATTATATAACAACTGGTAGAATGGCACTGGAGATAAAATAATAGTTCCTCAGCTGAGTTCACCTACCTTTAGCACCCTTGAGAAACAGTGAAGTTACCACTCTTACACAAGGTATGCTCCATTAAGTGTGAAGAAAGTAGTCATTTTATGTTAAATATCAGAATGTAACAGTTGATTAACTCAGATTTATTTTTACTGAACATTCACATATAAAAACAACTGAACTGAAATCATGAAGCTTGAAATTTGTATAAAACGCTGCTGTGAAAAAATGTATAAACAGCTCATTACTCAGTTCAACTCATCAATTTTCTATTTAATCTCAAATTTTACTAATCCACACAAACATTTCACCAGCACTTTTTCTCCCTGTGTGCAACATCATCGCTGAGCTATTTCAGAGAACCTACATCACATTCCATTTTTTCTACATTGGATGTAAGTGTCTCTCATGGAGTATTACAGTTCAAAAGCCTCAGAAATAGTTTAAAATGACATAAATCAGGTCATAATGTGTTGGTTATTTAAAATCTTTATAGCAATGTTGTAAGGGAGTTTTCACACACTGTTGCTGATATATTGGCCCATTCTTCCATGCATATCTCCTCTAGAGCAGGAATGTTTTGGGGCTCTCGCTGGGCAACACAGACTTTCAACTCCCTTCAATGGTTTGCTATGAGGTTGAGATCTGCAGATAGAAATGCTTCTTACGAAGCTACCCCTTTGTTTCCCTGGCCATGTGTTTGGGATCATTGTCATGCTGAAAGATCAGCCTATGTTTCATCTTCAATGCCCTTGTTGATGGAAGAAGTTTTGCAAACAAAATCTCATGATACAGGGTCCCATTCTTTCATATACAAAGATCAGTCATCCTTGTCCAGTTGCAGAAAACAGCTTCAAAGCATGACGTTGCCATCCCCATGCTTCACAGCAGGTATAGTGTTCTTTGTATGCAACTCAGCATTCACTCTCCTCCAAACACAACTCAAGTTTATACCAAATTGTTCTACTTTGGTTTCATCTGACCATGTGACATTCTCCCGATGCTGTTGTGGAACATCCAAATGCTCTCTAGTAATCTTCAGATGGGCCAGGATATGTACTTTCTTAAGCAGGGGAACGTTTGACTAAAGGATCTGAGTACCTGGTGGTCTAGTGTGTTACTGAGAGTAGCCTTTGTTGCGCTAGACCCATCCTTCTGCAGGTCATTCTGCCCCCCCTCCATTTTCTTTGGGGTGACTGTGAATCTGGAGGTAGAGCAGTCATCTGTGATAGGAAGGTGGAAGGTTAAAGTCCAGCATCCCCTGCCACATGTTGGTGTGCTCCTGGGCAAGGCACATAACTGACAAATTGCTTTCCAGGCTGTGTATCGGTTTACAAATGTGTGAGCATTTATGAATGCAAATGGGTGAATGTAACTCTAATGTAAATCGCTTTAAGTGGTCAAAATGATTGGAAAAGCTGTATATGTTCAGTCCATTTACCATTTTCCATCTGGAATTTTTGATGCATGGAGTGAGATCCTTCTTGGATCCCTAATCAAGCGGTATTATCAGTAGTCTTGAATGTCTTCCATTTTCTCATTACTGCTCCCACAGAACAATACAAGCACAATAACAAACAAAAATAATGCTTACTTTGTAATCTTTTTTTTTTTTTTAAGAGAGTTTCATAGGGGCTGCACAGTGGAGCAGTTGGTAGCAATGTTGCCTTGCAGCAAGAAGGTCCTGGGTTCAATTCCCAGCACGGCGTCTTTCTGCATGGAGTTTGCATTTTCTCAATGTACATGCATGGGTTCTCACCGGGTTCTACGGCTTCCTCCCACAGACCAAAAACAACATTCAGGTAAATTCTCCCTAGCTGTGTGTGTGTGCATGGTTGTTTATGTTGTGTGAAGAAGAAAGTCACACTTGTGTCTTCTTTTAAGCTTTTCATGTTATTTTCTTCAGTAGATCTTGATGCAACTGCCACACCACCAAAGGCAAGTAGGTGAGCAGGATTTTTCAATTACTTTGGATTGTTTAACACCTTGCAGTGTGAAAGTGAACCATACCAGCTAAAATGTAAACATGTTGTAATTTCATTCTTCAGTCCCCAATTGAACTGAGTCGACTGGACTATCAGGTGTGAAAAGACCCTTAATTGAGTTAATGCAAGTCACCACATACACTTAATTTTCTGAGATAACACAATGACATTTTAGCAGATAATAATGGAATTTGAATACTTGGAATCATACACACCCTTCTTCACAGATTACTGTAGCCATTGCACCAATTATAGTACCGTGGCTGGTATCAAATGACATGTGCGGTTTTGCTTCTGGGACACCACAGTCTGACCCTTTGATATAAAGAAACAACAAAAGCAAAACAAACAACCAAAAAAAATTTAAAAAAGTAGACATTATTGTAGGATTACAAAGAGCCAAGATGACCATGAAAGGCATGATGGATGACTGTTTGTAAGATGTAAAATGCAAGTTAAACAAGACTCACGCTTGCAGATGATATCTGACTTGGTCCACTTCCCATTGACACATCTAATGATTCCAGTGCCACTTATTTGATCACTCCCATCTATGCACTGATATTTGATCACAGTACCAATTGGAAAAATGCTTTTTCGGAGGGACTCAGCAGAGAGAACAGTGTTCTGTACATGTTGAGGTTTGGGACAGTCACCTAGGAGGAAATAAAAATGAAGAAAAATTACAGACAAACACATAAATACATAAAAGCAAAGCTTTTATGTATGTACAATTTGTGCAAATAACACAAATTGTAAGTGTCTCTTTTATGGAAAAATATGCTGTGAATGGCCCATCTGGGAACATGCATTGCAAACCAGCTAAAGCTATAAATGTTATAGTGTTCATAATTTGGTTATACTTAACTCTTGTCCCTATTCAAAATAAAACAATACAGAAAAAAAGCATCTTTTCCTTTTTTCATCACGTTAGAAATTTAATGACATTTGACAAAAACCTATGAGATAAATTAAAAAATAACCGTTAGTCATGATGGATCAAACTGACAATGATCCATCTCAGGATGGATCATTGTCAGTCTTATACTGTGTTGAAATGATAGGCTGGACAATGAGCTAATTTACAAGTAGTAGAAAGAAGATTTGTGTTATTTGGAAGCTTTTTGTATCTTATCTCAGCTAACTGATCTTCTGTGAAGCCTGAATAAAAGCACAAGAACTTACTGACACATCGTGGTGGCTGAGAATCATATCCACCAGTTTCAGTACACCTAATGGTTTCATTCCCAACCAAGGTGTATCCTGTGTTACATGTGAAACGTATAGTTTGTCGATATTCTGGTTCAAGATCATTATTCCAAGAATGTCTGCCATTTTCCACTCTGGTTGGTTTGGGACAAGTAACAACTGCAAAAATTGGCAAAAGAAAATAAAAATTGCTGTTTCAGATACAAAATACTTTAGTTGAAAAAAAAAGAGAAGAATTTAAACTGATCAACATTTACCTTCACAATTTGCAGTCTGTTAGATGTAAAATGCAAGTTAAACAAGACTCACGCTTGCAGATGATATCTGGTTTGGTCCACTTCCCATTGACACATCTAATGATCCCAGTGCCACTTATTTTATCAGATCCAATTATGCACTGATATTTGATCACAGTACCACTTGGAAAAATCTTTTTTAGGAGGGACTCAGCAGAGAGAACTGTGTTCTGTACATGTTGAGGTTTGGGACAGTCAGCTATGAGAAAATAAAAATGAAGAAAAATCACACACAAACACACAAACATAAAAGCAAAGCTGTTGTTGTGGTATTTGGTAATTTAAAAATTATTCTAAAAAATATGTTTAAGAAACAATTTAGTTGAAGCTTATGTTTGAACACAAAAAAGTGTCAAATGTTTGGACATGATGTTTGCGTAAGCGCAAAATTTCTGTATGTAAACAATGGCATGCAAGGTGTCTGTATTTATAAATCTGATTAAGTCAGTTCTTCACCAGCTATGAACCTAACTGGACGTCCTGGGAATCAGGGGAGGAAATTTAGCATGTTCTCCATTGCTCACAGTGGCTGGTGAAAAAAATATTTCATAGATTTTTTCCTCAGCCACATTTTTTTGTCTATGTGTTGTCATTCGTTCTTAAAATTACTTTGATCATGTTACAATTTGTTGCTTTTTTAGATATTTATAGCCAAATTGTCAGGGAGTTTTAACATATATTTAATGCTCATTATCAAAAGAGGGGGCAATAATTTTCATAGAACTTAATATAAATATACATTTTACTTCAGTGATTTTGTCACAAATTACAATATACGCAGAATAATAATCGATTTTTGGATTATGCTTGTATTCTATACACTTGGAATTGTGGTTGGGATTTTTAGCTCTATTCTATAAACAATCACAAACCACAGGATATTTTTTGGGGTGTGAGGGGGGAGTTTCGGCACATCATTGAAAATATTGCAACAAAAGATTCTAACTTCTCCTCTTTTACAATTTCACTGCAAGAACAAAAGAAAGTGTCTCTTTTATGGAAAAATATGTTGTGAATGGCCCATCTGGGAACATGCATTGCAAAACAGCTAAAGCTATAAATGTTATAGTGTTCATAATTTGTTTATACTTAACACTTGTCCCCATTCAAAAAAAAAAAACAATACAGAAAAAAAAGCATCTTTTACTTTTTTGATTGTTAGAAATTTAATGACATTTGAAAAAAAAACTATGAGATAAATTAAAAAATAACTGTTAGTCATGATGTTGTTAGGTTTCCATCACAGGATGTATCATTGTCAGTTTTATACTGTGGTGAAATGATAGGCTGGACAATGAGCTAATTTACAAGTAGTGGAAAGACGATTTGTGTTATTTGCAAGCTTTTTGTATCTTATCTCAGCTAACTGATCTTCTATGAAGCCTGAATAAAAGCACAAGAACTTACGGACACATCGTGGTGGCTGAGAATTATATTCACCAGTTTCAGTACACCTAATGGTTTTATTCCCAAACAAGGTGTATCCTGTGTTACATGTGAAATGTATGGTTTGTCGATATTCTGGTTTATGGACATTATTCCAAGAATGTCTGCCATTTTCCACGTTGGTCGGTTTGGGACAAGTAACAACTGCAAAAATTGGAAAAAGAAAAAGAAAATTGCTTTTTCAGGTACAAAATACTTTAGTTGAAAAAAAGAGAAGAATTTAAACTGAACAGAGCGAAAAATAACCGTTAATCATGATATTGTTAGGTTTCCATCACAGGATGGATCATTGTCAGTTTTATACTTTGGTGAAATGATAGGCTGGACAATGAGCTAATTTACAAGTAGTGGAAAGACGATTTGTGTTATTTGGAAGCTTTTTGTATCTTGTCTCAGCTAACTGATCTTCTATGAAGCCTGAAAAAAAGCACAAGACCTTACTGACACATCGTGGTGGCTGAGAATCATATCCACCAGTTTCAGTACATGTAATGGTTTTATTCCCAACCAAGTTGTATCCTGTGTTACATGTGAAACGTATAATTTGTCGATATTCTGGTTCAAGATCATTATTCCAAGAATGTCTGCCATTTTCCACTGTGGTCGGTTTGGGACAAGTGACAACTGCAAAAATTGGCAAAAGAAAAAGAAAATTGCTTTTCAGTACAAAATACTTTAGTTGAAAAAAAAAGAAGAATTTAAACTGAACAGAGCGAAAAATAACCGATATCATGATGTTGTTAGGTTTCCATCTCAGGATGGATCATGTCATTTTTATACTGTGGTGAAATGATAGGCTGGACAATGAGCTAATTTACAAGTAGTGGAAAGACGATTTGTGTTATTTGGAAGCTTTTTGTATCTTGTCTCAGCTAACTGATCTTCTATGAAGCCTGAAAAAAAGCACAAGAACTTACGGACACATCGTGGTGGCTCAGAATCATATCCACCAGTTTCAGTACATGTAATGGTTTTATTCCCAACCACGTTGTATCCTGTGTTACATGTGTAATGTATAGTTTCTCGATATTGTGGATTATGGCCACTTATCCAAGAATGTCTGCCATTTTCCACTCTGGTCGGTTTGGGACAAGTAACAACTGCAAAAATTGGCAAAAGAAAAAGAAAATTGCTGTTTCAGGTACAAAATACTTTAGTTGAAAAAAAGAGAAGAATTTAAACTGAACAACATTTACCTTCACAATTTGCAGTTCCAAACCATCCTGTGTCAACGCAATGTTTGACGCGTGATCCATTGAGCCAGAAACTGCATAAAAACAAAAGAAGTCATAAAGACTGTTAGTATCTATTTGACAATCAGAAGAGTTCAGATGATGAATAACATTTAATAATTAAAGATCATGCTACTAATTTTACATTTTCTATTTACTCTTTCACACAGAGTCATAGTTTGCTGATGGGATGCAAAAAAAACAACCTTTAAGGAGATAGCAGGCTATATTCCTTCTCAAAATAGCGATGGCTATATAATCTTTTTTATGAAAGAAAAACTTTTGTTTTGCTTTAAAGTAAAATTGCACAGAATAGATGCACATCTCTCCATGCTGCCTTTGTTGCACCATTTTACATAGATAGAAAGAATCAGGATAGTTCTGTTAATTTGCTTCTCTCATGCAGCATTGTAATGGAGTGAGACATAAACATAACACATGTTGCTCAATGTCATAAAGTGAAGGAAAAAAGCTAATTATTAAACCAAAACAATATTAAACTGGCAAATAAAGAATACATTTTGATAGATAACTGAAAAATAAAATAATTAAAGGCAGCTTTTTAGTTTTTGCCATTAGTTTAACAACCATTACGAAATACATAACTGACTCACAAAAAAGTTATGTCTAACTTCTCATGAATCAACAAAAACAAAAAAACTTTTTTCTGCAGTTCACAAAAGATTAAAGGGCTACCTATAAGAGCTAATTCATAACACATAATAGAACAATTTGGTTAAATATCTGCATTTTAACAGTGTGTTTCAGACAAAATGTCAACATAGGCTTCTACTGCCATTAGGTCATTGTTCAGACTAAAAATATGTTTGCATCAGTTTTACATAAAGACTGGGAGGAAGGAACAAAGCATGCTCCTAAGTTGCTTTGTTTCATGCAGCAGATTGATGGAAGGTTAGGAGAGTGAAAAAGACCCTGTAGTGGATGTGGCACTATCAATTAATCCAAGAGTTACTAATTGATTACTAATATGTGGATTGCAATTTTCTTCAATCAAATAATACCACCATTAATCCATCCATCCATTTTTGTCTTACACCCTTATCCCATCAAGGTCGGGATGGGTGCTGGTGCCTATCTGCAGCTGTCAACGGTTAATCAATTATGAAAAATAAGTTTTCAACAATGTTTTTATTGTAGGTAATATTATTAATAGACTTATATGAGATATTAATATTGATTGTAAATCGTTTTAATGTAAACTCTCCTAATAATAAATCACATAACAACTGCATAAAATATGTGCAAATTGCACTGGAGATAGAATAACAGTCCTTCAACCTATTCCACCTGTCTTTAGCAACCATTGCAAAAAGGTCATTCATACTCCCTAATCAGGTATGTTTTACTCACGGTGAAAAAAGTTGTCATTTTTAATAATATATTAAATATTTGAATTTTAAATCAGGTGATTAGCTCAGATTTTCTTTACTGAATATTCACACATTTAAAAAAAGCACTGAATTGAACTAATAACGCAAGAAATTTCTATAAAACTTAAATCTGAAAAAATTATAAACAGCTCCATAAACATTATATAACTAAATTCAACTCAGTTAATGTTACATTTTATTTTGACATATATCTGTACAAATTTTACTTTAAGGATAATAAATCTCTAATGTTTTTATTTTTAAATGTGCTGACATATCTAGATGCACATCCTGACAAAAATTTAATTGCTGCATATTACATAAATACTGGTATTGCAGCAATGAACATGTTAGTGTCCCTCATGATTTGGGGCACATTCATACCTAACACATTTGGTCTGGTTTAAACAGATCAAAGTTTGTTTCCCCTGTTGGTCCAGACCTTTTATGGAGCTGTGAATACGGTCATGCAAATCCTGGTGTGAACCAAACAACCAGACTGAGACTAATTTTTTGAGGTGATCTCTTGACTTGCAGTAAATTGGCCTCAAAATCTAGGTCTCAGTTTGATTAAAGTGAAATCTGGAACAATATTTTTTAGGTTCTCCGCTTTCAAACAAATTCTCGTACAGTTCGCCTTGGGTGCAAACCAAATACATGAAATATCCATCTTTTTAGACTACACAATTCCTTGTTGGTTGGTATTATGGTAAAAATGAACACATCAGAGATGCCTGCACTTCCACATGTGGTGATTTTAATAAACTTGTACCTGTTCTCCTGTTTTCTGCTTAGCAATGCTGTTGCCAGTTTGTGTTGGGTCAGCGCAGGTGGAACAAACACATTTGCAAACTCTGTTTCAAAATTAGAAATATTCCATCGCTATTCCTGTGTCAAATGAACTGCTGTTGATGTTCTAAATTATATTGGTTATTTAAATAGGGAAGTGTGATGCACATCCAGACACACCAAGAAAGCAAACTCTGAGCTGCCTCAAAATCTAGGTCAGTTTGATTAAAGTGAAATCTGGAACAATTTGTATGTGGATGCAAGAGGACTAGTGATCATTTAAAAAGCAAGAAGGGAACCATGGCGCAAGGCACAATTGTTAAATATAACCAAAATAAAAGGAAAAAATGGCTCCTGGTCTATTTCTAAAAACAAAAGAGAAATCTTCGAAGCGCATTTTGTTTACATTTTGTGAAGAAGAAAGATGCACTCATGTCTTCTCAGCTTTTCATGTTATTTGTTCAGTAGGTCTGCAAAGCCACCACAGGCAATGGGGTGAAAAGGTTTTTCAATTACTTTGAATTGTTTAAAAAAGTACAGTATGAAAGCGAACCACACCAGTTAAAATGGAACAAATGTTGCAATTCTGGTCCTCATTTGAACTGAGCCAAGCAGACTATCGGGTGTGAAAAGATTGTTTCGAGTTTGCAAGTCAAGCATACACTTGATTTTCTGAGACAAAACAATGACATTGAAGCAGATAATCGAATTTAAATATTTGGAATCATACATACCCTTTTACACAAGATACATAAACCGCTGCACCAAATAGAGTCCCCTGGCTGGTGTCATATAACATATGTGGCTGTGCTTCAAGGTGACCACAGTCTTTCTCTTTGATATAAAAATACAACAAAAATAAAAATAAAAGAGAAGAGCAGATATCAGTGTAGGACTACATAAGCCAAAAATGACCTTGAAAATCGTGTTGATAACTGTTTTTTAGATATAAAATGCAATTTAGACAGGACTCACTGCGGCAGATGATATCTGGCTTGGTCCAGTTCCCATCATCGCACGTCATGATCCCAGTTCCATTTACATTCTTATATCCAATTATGCACTCATATCTGAGCTCGGTACCTGATGGGAAATCCTCTTTTAGAAGGGATTCTTTTGTGAGAATCATGTTCACTCCAACGTCAGGTATGGGGCAAAAAGCTAGGGCGAAAAAAATATGCATGAGCCTAGAAATTGATTAGCATTTTTCACCTCCCATTATCAATTGGGAGGCGCTCCACCCTGCCACAAAGTCCACCTGCCCCCCCATGAAGACTCATGCAGTAATTGTACATTTTCATACTTCCTATTAATAATTTTTATAACCTATAAATTACATCAGATCACATTGTCAGCTATTTTCTTCCCTATGTAATCACTGCTCGACTTACAATTCTCTCTAAGCTAGGTTTATTGTTGACAATTTGAACTGGGCCCAAGTGTGCATCTGCGCCAATGCGCATTTGCCTCGAGCCCTGTCTTGTCACCTGGTTGTGGTCCTCCAAACTTTTGTGGGGACTGCTCCATATTTTCTTCACTGACCACACACGTTGTTAATAGCCAATCTGGGAACATGCATTGTAAACTAGCTAGGCCATAAATCATTTTGTTCATAATTTGTCTATACTTAAGACTTGTTCCCATTCAAAAAATAAACAGTAAAAAAATAAAGATAATTTGTGTTTTAACTCATGCTATCGTTTGCTTTTTTCATTATGTTAGAATACCAGCGAGACTTGTTCAAAAAATATATGAAAACTAACTGTCAGTCATTTAGATAGGTTTCCAACTCAGGATGAATCATTGTCAGTTTTATACAGTGCAGTGGTGAAATGATAGGCTAGACCAGGGGTGTCAACATCCAGTCCTCGAGGGCCGGAGTCCTGCAACTTTTAGATGTGCCTCTGCTGCACCACACCTGAATAGAATAATTAGATCATTAGCAAGGCTCTGGAGACCTGATCTACACAAGGAGGAGGTAATTAAGTCATTTCATTCCAGCGGTTTGTACCTGTGGCACATCGAAAAACTGCAGGACAGCGGCCCTTAAGGACTGGAGTTTGACACCCCTGGGCTAGACAATGAGCAATTTTACAAGTGGTTGAAAGACAGCTTACATTATTCACAAACGTACTTGCAAACTGTATATTGTCTTGGCCAAAAGATCTTCTGTGAAGCCTGAAATAAAGCATCAGAACTTACCGATGCATTGTGGTTGCTTAGAATCATATCTGCCAGTATGAGTACACCTAATGGTTTTATTCCCAATCAGGGTGTATCCTTTGTGACACGAGAAATGTATCGTTTGATTATAATGTGGTGTCTTGCGCGTTCTCCATGTATGTTCACCATTTTCCACTTCGGTGGGTTTGGAACAATTAACAACTGAGAAAAAGAGAAAAAGAGAATTTCTGTTTCAGGTACACAATGCTTTGGCCAACTGTGTTGAAAAAAAAGAATTCAAACACTTACTGGAACAATTTCCATGTCCAACCCACCGTGTGCCTAAGCAAATTCTGTAGCCCCATCCCATGACCGTGTAACTGCATAAACACAAAAGAAGTCATAAATAATGACAGAATCTGATGAACCATAAATAAAATATTAGCTTGTCAGTAAGATTTAATATAAAAAATTTTGCAACTAATTTTATGTTTTCTGTTTATTCACACAGTCATTGTTTGAAGACAGAATCCAGACAACCCTGTGCCTCTTTAACACACTAAATACCCAACTTAACCAGGATGGACTGAATTCGCCAATAGAGCCTCAGAGCTGACCACCATCTGTCAGTGGGGATGTATTGGAATCACGGTGCAACATGGATTATAACCGGTTGTTTCACTTAATGAACTGAACAGAGGGATTTACATATTTTTGCTTGAGGTTTTCTTTCTTCCCAAAATAACACAGGCTATAATCTTCTTTAAAGATAAAGAGAAAAGGAGAAAGTTCTGTTTAAAACTACAGCATATATTCACATCCATCATCTATATCTGCTTATCCAGGCAGGCTTATAGGGGGTTCAAGTGTCTATCTTGCACCCCTGAAACATTTCAATGATTTCAATTTGATTCCCTCATGCAGCAGTTTAATGGAGTGAGACATAATCCTAGAAATACATCACTTAAAGTTCTTTAGAGCTCGTACACCAGCAAAAGACATTGTGCTGCGAATTGCAATAAGCTTAGATGAGCATTTGAAATGCTGATTTGAGATGTCTTCATCTCAAATCACCGTACTCTGCTGCGGGAGGTCGGATGGAAAGGATGGAAGCCTGAAGGAGTCGGAGGCTTTGGAGAGAAGGGGCGGAGGTGGGTTGAGCATGGCTGGAAAGCGGGCGTTGCCTTCGATCACGGTCCTTATACAAGGAAGCTTGATCGTGATTGGCTGTGACGGGGCATTGTTCGATGCTGACAGGCTCCTGACTTATGAATGTGACACAGTGACTGGATGATGCAGGTGAGGCTGAAGAGCCTTCCAGTGTGAATTTACTTTGAGGCTTCATTTCAACTCAGTTAATTTCCGATGTGATACATTCAATGGGCACACACAATAGAAAAAGGTAATAAACGAAGTCTGCGTTGATGTCAAAAACGACTCAGTACTCAAATTTATGAACAAAAATTGATTGAGGAGCCACCTAGTGGCGGAAATAAAATACTACATATAAAAAAGCTTAAAAAACGGAAAACCAAACTAGAGAGCTGAAAACAATTACAGTAACTGACTATCTTTTCTACACCACAATTGAACTGAGTCTACCAAACTATTAAGTGTAAAGAAACCCTTAATGGAGTTACTGAAAGTCAGGGCATAAACTTGATTTTCTGAGATAAAACAATGACATTGAAGCAGATTATATAGTTTATATATTTGGAATCATATATACCCTTTTTCACAGGTTATATATGCGTGTGCACCATACAGAGTCCCTTGCCTGAGGTTAAATATCATGTGTGGTTGTGGTACAGGGGGACCACAGTCTTTCCCTTTGATAAAAAGAAACAACAAAAACAACAAGGAACAACAGTCATCAGTGTGATATTATCTTGAGCGAAGATGACAATGTAAAGCATGTTGGATAACTGTTTTTGTCAGATGTAAATTGCAAGTTAGACAGGACTCACGCCTGCACTTGATGTCTAGCTCGGTCCACTTCCCATTGACGCAAGTCATCTTCCCAGTGCCACTTACTTTCTCATATCCAAGTCTGCACTCATGTGTGATCACAGTACCATCAGGGAAACGATGTTTTAGAATGGATTCCTCTGTGAGAACTGTGAACTCTCCATGTTCAGGTATGGGACAATCAGCTAGGACGAACCGAAAATGAAGAAAAATGACACAAAGACACACACACATAAAAGCAAAGCTGTTATTGTGACTTTGGTTATTTTAACATGATTCTACAACATAAGTTGAAAAATATGTTTTTATCAGTTATTTTGACTCGGTAGACATTATAGATCATATGACGAAACGTCCAGCAAATGTTTTGTCAAATCTTAATAAATGTCTGATGGACGTTTGCTGTTGATTTGACGCTCTGCGTCGTTATGACAACGTTAAGTGGACGTTGTCATAACGTTTAATGCTAGACGGGTAGTTGTTAAAGTTAAGGTTATTTTTAAATAAAAGTGTTCTTATTTGTCAAAGTGACCCTGACATCAAACAAAACGTAATATGTTTTTATATGTGACAACAAAAATAGTACAATATTATATCTTTGAAGCCGGTTTGGCCGGTGACGTACTGACCTGCAACGTTCCCGATAAATAGGCACAGGATAAGGAGTTTTCTCTGTCTGCCGATGTCAACTAAACCCTTCATAGATGTGGAAGGAAATACAAACCATCCGGATGAAGCTGCCTCTACATCAGTCCAACTTTAGTCATGGAAATGTGGTGTGTAGAGACGCTCCTCACGGTGGAAATGATTCTCCTTCCATTGAAGTCAATTCATTTTTTAAGTTACTAGAGGGAAATGAGGTGAGGTTGAAAATTTTCAAAATAAAAGTCTTGGTTTCCTAACAAATTACTGTTTTGGAATTCACTAATTCAAACAAACGACTTTCACAAGAATCCTAACCACGAAGCAATTTACATGCTTAATGACATTATGTCTCCAATGTCCTGAGTGGAATTTTGGACATTTGTATTTCACTTTGTTTCGAATACACCGTTGGATTTGTAGGATTTTATGTTTTTGCTGTAGAGATTTAAGGGGAGGTATGTGCTTCTTAGAGTCAAACATTCTTACAATCAAGAATCAAATAAAAAAAAAAGGCAAATAAAATTAATTAATCTTTGAGAATTCAAGTGTTAAGTGATGGCATAATCAGGACAGACATATATAATATATATATATATATATATATATATATATATATATATATATATATATATATATATATATATATATATATATATATATATTATAAAATTCCCTTCTCACCACGCGGGTGGTTCTTATCCTCTGAGCTCGGGTCCTCTACCAGAGGCCTGGGAGCTTGAGGGTTCTGCGCAGTATCTTGGCTGTGCCAAGGACTGCACATTTCTGGACTGAGATGTCTGATGTTGTTCCTGGGATCTGTTGTAGCCACTGCTCCAGTTGGGGGTTACTGCCCCGAGGGCCCCGATGACCACAGGCACCACTGTGGTCTTCACCTTCCAGGCCCTCTCCAGTTCTTCCCTGAGGCCCTGGTATTTCTCCAGTTTCTCGTGCTCCTTTTTCCTGATGTTGCAATCACTTGGTATTGTTACATCAACCACAACGGCTTTCCTCTGTTGTTTATCCACTACGACAATGGCTGGTTGGTTCGCCATTACCATTTTGTCTGTCTGGATCTGGAAGTCCCACAGGATCTTAGCTCTGGCATTCTCCACCACCTTTGGGGGTGTTTCCCACTTTGATCTCGGGGTTTCCAGTCCATATTCTGCACAGATGTTTCTGTACACTATGCCTGCCACTTGGTTATGTCGCTCCATGTACGCTTTCCCTGCCAGTATCTTGCACCCTGCTGTTATGTGCTGGACTGTCTCAGGGGCCTCCTTGCACAACCTACACCTTGGGTCTTGTCTGGTGTGGTAGATCTGGGCCTCTATTGCTCTGGTGTTTAGGGCCTGTTCCTGGGCGGCCAGGATGAGGGCCTCTGTGCTGTCCTTGAGTCCAGCTTTTTCCAGCCATTGGTAGGATTTACTGATATCAGCCACTTGGGTTATTTGCTGGTGGTACATCCCATGTAGGGGCTTGTCCTCCCATGATGGTATCTCTGGCACCTCAACCTCCGTTCCCTGTTGTCTGAGACATTCACTGAGCACATTGTCTGTTGAGGCTTTGTCCCTGATGTATTTATGGATCTTAGTTGTTTCGTCCTGGACAGTGGTTCTCACACTCACTAGTCCTCTGCCTCCTTCCTTGCGGCTCGTGTACAGTCTCAGGGTGCTGGATTTGGGGTGGAACCCTCCAGGCATGGTTAGTAGCTTTCTAGTCTTAATATCTGTGGCTTTTATCTCCTCCTTTGGCCAGCTAATTATTCCAGCAGGGTATCTGATTACTGACAGGGCATAGCTGTTTATCGCACAGATTTTGTTCTTGCCATTGAGCTGGCTTCTCAGGACTTGCCTTATTCGTTGGAGGTATTTAGCTGTGGCTCCTTTCCTTGTGGCCTCATCGAGGTTGCATTTGCTTGTGGTATACCTAGGTACTTGTAACTGTCCTCTATGTCTGCTATTGTTCCTTGTGGGAGTGAGACTCCTTCTGTGCGGATCACCTTCCCCCTCTTTGTGATCAGCCGACCACACTTCTCTAGTCCGAATGAGATCCCAATGTCAGTGCTGTAGATCCTGGTGGTGTGGATCAGTGAGTCGATGTCTCGCTCATTCTTGGCATACAGCTTGATGTCATCCATGTAGAGGAGGTGACTGATGTTGGCCCCATTTTTGAGTCGGTATCCGTAGCCAGTCTTGTGATAATTTGGCTGAGGGGGTTCAGGCCTATGCAGAACAGTAGCGGGGGACAGAGCATCTCCTTGGTATATGCCACATTTGATGGACACTTGTGCAAGTGGTTTGCAGTTGGCTTCAAGGGTGGTTTTCCACAGCTTCATCGAGTTTGCAATGAAGGCTCTCAGAATCCTATATATATATATATATATAATATATATATAGATATATATATATATATATATGTATATATATTATGTATATATATATATATAATATATATAATATATATATATATATATACATATATATATATATATATAACTATATATATATATATATTTATTAATATATATATATAACTATATATATATATATATATATATATATATATATATAAAAGAAAATTTTACATTTTAAAGATGATTTGTAATCTTTCTCAATAAAATGGTTTTGTTAATATTCTGCATACCAGACTAAAAACCCACAGTAAACAATCATGAAAAGAAAGAATCTTCACTATCCTCCAATGCAGACTGTAAACTGTATTAAACCCACTGTATCATTCCTCAACAACTTGGATTATATGTCAGTCCTGATAAAACATCACATAACAGAAAAACCTGGAAACTCACAGGCGTAATATTTATGAAGACATTTTTTCAATGACTGAAATAATTTAGAACATAAGTAGAAAAAGTGTTTACAACACATTTAGTAGAAATAAAAGAGATTAAGTGAAATAAAGTATTTTCAATATTTTAGTGATTATGTCAGAGTAATTATAAAAACGCTCTCTTTGCCTGTGCAGCATATCTTCCCCTTCTCTCATTACTGACTTTCCTGTTTAACTGATCTCACCTAAAGGCCACTACAGCCAATGAAACTGTTAAGAAAACGTGCATCTAAAAATTAAACTTTGAAACAATACAATAGCCTTCATGATGTTTAGTTTTCTTCTTTTGAAGTGAAAACAAATATAAGTTGATAAAAGGGAGACTGCTTGTTTTATCCAAGGCGTGGTAAGGCGCTCAGAGTTCGGCAGTCCTTCATCTGTAGTAAATGTCCCAACAGCTGGGTCCAGTTCCAACTGAGAAAGAAACAGATGAGAAACCAAAGACTAACTGTTTAATCAGAGTTGCATTTTGATTGTGGTGGGGAAAAAATGACAATCGGATCAAGAGCTGTTTCTTCTTGCTTCAAAATGAAAATCATATTTATACTTAATGATTCACACAGAAAATTACAAGAAGAAAAATGAAGAAGTTAAAACAGTTTAAACAAGATTGTTTGGTATTGTGATGGTCTTAGGTCAAAAAGTACATGAAATGGATACCTGAATGAAGAAGGATACTTAAAGCGGGTGAAACTGTAATGGCTCCAACGTCAGCTCTTCTCTGTGTGAGTCTCTCCAGAATGAAATGGAGTTTAGGCGAAAATTCAACCTGGGAGACTCGATCCAGCTGACATTCATCTCGCAATCGCCACGTCCTACCTCAACCAATCAGGGCTGGAGCAACTCTCCGCTTCGAGCCTATCATCATCCAGGACAATCTTCAAAAGCCAAGCTATCAGAGGGTCGACCCGCTCGTCGCTGTGCACAACCCACCTCTTCCCCTCTTCTCCACCTCCGTTCTGATGGATGTTTCCTGGATCCTTCTACTCCCAGCTCCACCACCGGTTTTTGGCCCCGGGGACGACTGTCCGAGCTCGGCCGAGCTGATGTCCTGCCCGCGGTGATCCGCGACTCCCAGTCTTCAGCCGGGGCCGAGCGCCAAAGATTCTGTAGTATCATTAAATCTCTAACTGCTTTCTCTTCTCTGTGTGAGTTTCTACAGATTAAATTATCTTTACATATGAATACTACATACACTACACTCATTCTTCTATTGTCAGAAAGAGAAGATTTTTAACTATCTTATCTGAAAATGTTTCATTTTAAGGATGATGATTTGAAATCTTTCTCAAAAAATGGTTTGTTATTGTTCTGTATAGTAGACAAAAATCCGAAAGTAATCGTTCATGAAAAGAAAGAATTTTCACCAGCCACCATTGAAGTTTGTAAACTGAATTAACCCCATTGTGTTGTTCATGGACAACTTGGATTATGTATCTGTCCTTATAAAACATCACAAAACAGAAAAACCTGAAAACTTGCAGGCTTACTAGTCATCAAGAACTCTAAGATGAGTGTGTTTTTTAATAATTAAAATAATTTCTAACTTAAATAGAAAAAAAAAATGGTTCACAAAGTAATTAGTAGAAACAAACAATAAATATTTTCAAATTTTTACTAATTTGGTAAAACCAATTACTGTATAAAACGATGCAGACGTCAAAGGCTTATCCAAGGCTTGGTAAGGCGCTCAGAGTTCGGCAGTCCTTCATCTGTAGTAAATGTCCCAACAGCTGGGTCCAGTTCCAACTGAGAAAGAAACACATATAAGAAACCAAGGACTGACTGTTTAATCAGAGATGCATTTTGATTGTGGTGGGAAAAAATGACAATCGGATCAAGAGCTATTTCTTCTTGCTTCAAAATGAAAATCATGTTTATATTTTATACTTAAAAATTACAATATATTTTATACTTAAAATTACAAGAAGAAAAACGAACAAGTTAAAACAATTTAAACAGGATTGTTTGGTATTCTGATGGTCTTAGGTCAAAAAATACATAAAATGAATACCTGAATGAAGAAGGATACTTAAAGAGTGTGGAACTGTAATGGCTCCAACATCAGCTCTTCTCGAGTTTCATGTGAACTATAGGGTCATCAATTAAGAAATTTGTGTAAGAATTATTGGACAGTTCATTTTTTTAAATTAAAAGTTAACTAATTAATGCATTTGTAACTAGCATTCCATGGAATTAAAGGTTAGTCATTTTAATAAAAATATTTTTGAATAAAAAATACCAGTCAATTTAGACAAAATCAAGGCTGCCTTTTACCCAATTGTAGATTAGCAAACACTTAGCCACCTTGAAGGAAGCAGTGATCATTGACCAGTCTAAACTTTGTGTCTTGTATCTTCACATCAAGAATAGGTGACAAGAAAAAAAATCCTGAACATCTTTCAGCCTGGCTAAAACTTTACGAGGCTATTTATAAAGCTTTATGACTCCAGTGAAGTACACAGGCAGTCATTATAATCAACCGTGCAAAACTTGGTATGGTGGAGAAGCGTCACAGAAGTGGCCAACAAGCTAAACCTACTCCAAAAGCATATTGTACGACATTGTAACGACTTATCAAAAGCATCTTTAATGCACCTGCCTCTGAAGGTTAGAGTTTGTGACTCAACAATAGTAAAGAATCTAGACAAAAATGGCTTCTATGGCGGAGTTTAAGCCCAAGAGACATGGGCTTAAATGTCTCTTGAGCTTAAACAGGTTGTTATTGCTATAAAAACCATTAACATACTGGTAATTCTAAAAAGAGTGTCAAATTTTCTCCAAAGCAATGTAAAAAGCCTGTTGGTACATGTGAATTCAGATGTCCTAATTTCTTTCTTTCCCAACAAAATCATAACTTAAAAGTTGTTGTTTTTCTTTTACATTTTCTGAGGTTTTTATTATAATTGGTTTGATGATATAAAACATTTGTGTAACAAAAATGAGAAATCTTTAAATGGATTGTATTTAGTTTCAAGGAAAGAATCTCAAACATTATTACACAGTAGTTAATGTGCATTTTCCTCTTTGGCTGTATTTCTTATTTTCACCCAGTTACACAGACATTAACAGCTAAATTTTAAACAGGGTAACCTTCCTAAGTGTTTTTACATTAGTCTGTTATTAAAAACTAACAAACACAATAAAATCCTTGAAGATGAATGCTAGGATATTGTTTCTGTTTTTATTTTTCAGTTAATTTAACACTAAAATGGAATCAAAAAATTAGATATGGGCAAAGTAAGAAAATAAAATGCAGCACTTTCAGACCTCAAATAATGCAAAGAAATCAAGTACATATTCATTTAGAAACAATACGTTCCTGAGTTATGTTTTAACTCAGGAAAATTTCAGAACTCTATATTTGGTGGAATAATAATGAGGTTTTCAGTGGGGGTCAGTGCATTGGTTTCTTAATTTTTTTCAGAGCTGTATATAAAAATATCCAGTTGTTTGTAAGTTTAAAATACAATCTCTCACCATCGCCTCCAAATACAAAAGATGTTGAAAATAAATCCAACTGAACAGCCAACTGTGAAGGAAATGAAAGAAAGAATAGAATTTTTGATAATTTTGCATTTCAGCCACAAAAAATGATAAAATTCATTTCAAAGAGACACTTTAATTTATATTACCTGCCGCAAATATTAACACCGGGGTTACAAGTCTATGTTCTGCAAAGATAAAATAATGTTAAAACCAAACCCAAGAGATTTGCTCTTTCGATAAGAGCAAAACTAAAGATGTTGCTCTTTTCTTTGGATCTCAAAATACTCTGGTCTGCAAGTACAAAACAGTGTAGTAAATGGATTTACAAAATTACAGCAAAGATCCAATTAAGTATTTATAAGGAAAACATCAACATAGTTCAATATGCACAATTCTTCAGAAAACTAATGAAAAATTACTCCTGCTTAGGTCAAGACACATCCACTTATGATTCTCCAAACATGCCATGTTACTTCTGCGATTCTTTCGTAATGCAGTGACTCACCAAGGTCGTCTCCAGACCGGTGATCAATGTAGAAGTTTTCAACTTCTGTATTGTTTGAGAAATCTATAATTTATTTACTGCTGAGGTACACAGAAAATTCACTTGATTGAAAAGGACTGAGAAAAAAAAAATAGAAAAAAAAATGTTTTAAAAGAAAAGTTTTGATACTTTTTAATAAGGTGGATGCTGATGCACTGATTGTAGTAATAGTTTCATCAGATATTTTGTAGACTTTAAATGACAAAGTTAGCATAAATCTTATTTATTTTCTAATTTGGATAAAATACGTTTCCCCCAAATTTTTGACCATTTCTCATTTTTCACAAATAAATACATTTTTGTTTGGAATTTTGGAGACATGTTTTCAGTATTTCATAGAATCAAAGTTCAATGTCCATGCTGTACAGTCTCAGACTGTCATTGGACATCAATATATAACATACCAAATTGCTGGGCGCTATTAGTTTTGAGTCTGACAAAAGAAACTGTGCCACCTAGTGGTGAGTTTTTTCACCATTTCAGCAGCTGCAAAATGGTGAAAGCGAGTAGAGGCTTCTCAACAGTGTGCTGCTGGTGCCCACAGTTTCTGTTGCTGATGTGCATTGCTGACTTATTGCCACACATCCCCATCTTCATCTTCTAAATGACTGCTTAATAAAGACTAAGAAAAGGAAATCCATACCCACTTTATATCCTGATTGACATTCAGTGACGAATGTACTACATCCATCAGACTTGCATTATTCAGTAGATCCTCATCTACTATTCATTTTACCCAAACATAAACCTATAAAAAGTAAAATCAGAGAAAATTATAATTCTAAGTAGTCTCTTAATTGTATATATATTTACATCTCTGCAGTTCCCTGTCAAAGGGAGAATGCAGAGTGTGTTTCACCCTGAAGTCACAAGGGCATTTATTTAGAGGTTCTGTAGAGGAGGGTCCGATGAATAGGTGAACGTCAGATTCAGAACGAGCAGTACTGTTTTTGTCCTGGTATGTGTGCTGGAGTTCGATTTGGAGAGGACATTTAACCTTGGGAAACGTACACTGGGAGCATGGCGTACCAGGTCCTTCGCTACGGTGTGTTAAGTCCATGTGTGACTGGTGTCAGAGCTTGCTCTGTATGATGATCAAAGGCGGGGCTCAATTCCTATGAGATTTGGACTATGCTGAGTTTGCACATTGTCACCAATTCTGTTCATAAAATTTATAAACAGAATTTGTAGATGCAGCCAAGATGTTTAGGGGATTTGTTTTGATGACCTTAGGATTGTGTCTCTGCTCTCTGAAGATTATGTGGTCCAATTGGCTTCCTGCTTTTGCTGGAGTGGTTCGCAGCTGAGTATGAAGCAGCTGGGATAACGATCAGTGCCTCCAAATCCAAGGGTAGAGTGCCTTCTCCAGGTCATGGAAGGGATCCTACCCCAAGTAGAGGCGTCTAAGTATCTTGGGAAATTGTTCACAAATTAGGAACAATTGAAAAGGAGAATAAAAAAGGTAGATTAGTGCAATTTAAACAGTGAAGTAGGCATGGTGCCGGTCACTCTTTGTGCAGAGAGAACTGAGTCAAAAGGTGACGCATTTGATTTATTAGTCAACCTTTGATCCTACCCTTATCAATTGTCATAAGCTTTGGGTCATGACTGAAAGAATTAGATTATGGACACAAGTGGCTAAAATTTTCTCTGCAGGGTATCTGGCCGCTCTCTTTGAGGTAGGATGACAAGTTAGGTCATCCAGGAGGGACTCAAACTAGAGCCACTACTTCCCAACATTGACAAGACCAGTTGAGGATGCTCGGGGTTTTCTAGCTAGTATGCCTCCTGGACGCATCCCTAGTGATGTGTTACAGACACGTCCTACTCAGTGGGAAACCATAGGAAGAATCAGAACTTGCTGGAGGGACTCTGTCACTGGCGTGGGAATGCCTTGGGATTCCAACAGAGAAGCTGGACCAGGTTGCTGGAGAGAGGGAAATCTGGGACTCCCTACTGAGGCTGCTACCCCCACGACCCGACTCAATATATAGATGTGGTAAGGAAATCTCTAAAGGGGACAAATTATTTTTCATTGAACTTTATATTGTCCTCCAGTGAATGTGTCACAAAGTAACATAAAAATGCAAATCTATGCAAAAATATTCTTGTTATGTATTCTATAAGTTGTTTTGTTGCAGGAGTAAATGAAATACTTTTTGTTGTAATTTTGCCTACTGTGGTCTATTATGAGACAAAGGATTCAGCTGCAATCATCCTGAGTTCATGTCTTCTGCATTTTGATATATTCTAAATATGCAACATGAAGCTAATTTTAATTTGGCATGAACAACACACTTTATCTATAAGTGACATTCATCCACCATCGATTTGTTTATAGGTTTAGTTCTTAGTAATCATCTATGTTGCAAACTTTTACCTATTTACCTTCACAATTTGCAGGTCCAAACCATCCTGTGTCAAGGCACTGTTTGGAGCTCGGTCCATTGAGCCGGTAACTGCATAAAGAAAAAAAAAGTCATAAAGACTGATAGAGTCTGTTCGACTATAAGAAGAGTTCAGCTGATGAATAACATTTAATAATGAAAGATTATGCTACTAATTTTACATTTTCTATTTACTTTTCATAGTCATTGTTTTCTGACAGGATGCAAAAACTCAACCTTTAAGGCTGTAGTAGGCTATGTTCCTTCTCAAAATAGCGATGGCTATATAATCTTTTTTATGAAAGAGAAACTTTTGTTTTGCTTTAAAGTAAAATTGCACAGCATAGATGCACATCTCTCCATGCTGCCTATATTGCACATTTGAACATAGGGAGAAAGAATCAGGAGAGTTTTGTTAACTTGCTTCTCTCATGGAGCATTGTAATGGGGTGAGACATAACATAATGCATGTTGCTCCCTGTCATAAAGGGGGGAAAAAAATAACAATAAAGCAAAACAACATGTCTGCAAAATAAAATGATTGAAGGCAGATTTCTAGTTTCTGTTACTAGTTTAACATTATCTAATACATAACTGACACACAGAAAGGTTATGTCTAACTACTCATAAAACAAACAAAACTCTCTTCTGCAGTTCACAAAAGAATAAAGGATTACCTATAAGAGCTAATTAATAACCCAAAATAATAAAATTTGGTTAAATATCTGCATTTTAACAGTTTGCTGCAGACAAAATGTCAACATAGGCTTCTATCTTCTACTATTAGGTTATTTTCAGATACAAATATGTTTGCATCAGATTTACATAAAGACTGGGAGGAAGGAACAAAGCATGCCCTAAGTGCTTTTTTCATCAGCAGATTGATGGAAGGTTAGGAGAGTGAAAAAGCCCCCGTACTGGATGTGGCACTATCAATTAATCCAAGAGTTACTAATTGATTACTAATATGTGGATTGCAATTTTCTTCAATCAAATAATACCACCATTAATCCATCCATCCATTTTTGTCTTACACCCTTATCCCATCAAGGTCGGGATGGGTGCAGGCGCCTATCTCCAGCTGTCAACGGTTAATCAATTATGAAAAATAAGTTTTCAACAATGTTTTTATTGTAGGTAATATTATTAATAGACTTATATGAGATATTAATATTGATTGTAAACCGTTTTAATGTAAACTCTCCTAATAATAAATCACATAACAACTGCATAAAATATGTGCAAATTGCACTGGAGATAAAATAATAGTTCTTCAACCTATTCCACCTGTCTTTAGCAACCATTGCGAAAAGGTCATTCATACTCCCTCATAAGATATGTTTTACTCACGGTGAAAAAAGTAGTAATTTTTATTAATATATTAAATATTTGAATTTTAACTCAGGTGTTTAACCCAGATTTTCTTTACTGAATATTCACACATACAATAAAAGCACTGAATTGAACTCATAACGCAATAAATTTCTATAAAACTTAAATCTGAAAAAATTATAAACAGCTCCATAAACCTTATATTACTCAGTTCAACTCAGTTAATGTTAAATTTTATCTTGACATGTATTTGTACAAATTTTACTGGCTCTAAAGTTTGTTTGTTTTTTAGATGTGCAGGCATATCTAGATGTAGATCCTGACAACGATTGAAATGCTACATATTACATAAATACTGGTATTGAGGCAATGAACATGTTAGTGTCCCTTATGATTTGGGGCACATTCATACCTAACACATTTGGTCTGGTTTAAACAGATCAAAGTTCGTTTCCCCTTGTGATGGTTCGAGTTAAAACACGAGGAGTCACCGGACATATTGAGAAATTTTTGTTGTTGTTGTTTTAACCCAAAAATCATAAATGATAAAAGATAAACTGAGCTCATAAAAGATTCAAAGAAACAAAACTGAATTCAGGCAAAAAGTGTAAGCAAACTAGCTGCACAAACATAACTGATCTAACAAAGAAAAGACACACAGGGGTTTATATACTGGCTGACACAGTAGGGGTAAATAAAAGAATACATATAACAAAACAACAAATAGTGCTGCTAAGTTTGGCTAACGTAAAGACATAAAAATTAAAATAAAAAATATTAAACTTTAAATACTAATGTTCACTTAAATACGAAAGTTATCGAAACAAAAACCTCCAATTAACATTTATACTTATTGAGTCCTGGCTATCATCTTTTGTCTGGTATCTCGAGGCAGGTAAGTACAACATAGGGTTATGGCCATGGATTTGGCCATCACCAACTGGACCAACTGCGACCAAACCGAGTTGGTCCAGACCTTTTATGGAGGTGTGAAGACAGTCATGCGAATCCTGGTGTGAACCAAACAACCAGACTGAGACTAATTTTTTGAGGTGCTCTCTTGACTTGCAGTAAATTGGCCTCAAAATCTAGGTCTCAGTTTGATTAAAGTGAAATCTGGAACAATATTTTTTAGGTTCTCTTTCCGCTTTCAAACAAATTCTTGTATGGTTCGTCTTGGGTGCAAATCAAATACATAAAATATGCATCTTTTTAGACTACACAATTCCTTGTTGGTCAGTATTATGGTAAAAATGAACACATCAGAGTTGCCTGCACTTCCATATGTGGTGATTTTAATGAACTTGTACCTGTTCTCCTGTTTTCTGCTTAGCAATGCTGTTGCCAGTTTGTGTTGGGTCAGCGCAGGTGGAACAAACACATTTGCAAACTCTGTTTCAAAATTATTAATATTCCATCGCTATTCCTGTGTCAAGTGAACTGCTGTTGATGTTCAAAATTATATTGGTTACTCAAATAGGGGAAGTGTGAATGCACATCCAGACACACCAAGAAAGCAAACTCTGAGCTGCCTCAAAATCTAGGTCTCAGTTTGATTAAAGTGAAATCTGGAACAATTTGTATGTGGATGCAAGAGGACTAGTGATCATTTAAAAAAGCAAGAAGGGAACCATGGCGCAAGGCACAATTGTTAAATATAACCAAAATAAAAGGAAGAAATGGCTCATGGTCTATTTCTAAAAACAAAAGAGAAATCTTAGAAGTGGATTTTGTTTACATTTTGTGAAGAAGATAGATGCACTCATGTCTTCTCAGCTTTTCATGTTATTTGTTCAGTAGGTCTGCAAAGGCACCACAGGCAATGGGGTGAAAAGGTTTTTTAGTTTGAATTGTTTAAAAAAGTACAGTATGAAAGCGAACCACAACAGTTAAAATGGAACAAATGTTGGAATTCTGGTCCTCATTTCTGAGCCCAGCAGACTGACGGGCGTGAAAAGAATGTTTTGAGTTCTTGCAAGTCAAGACATACACTTGATTTTCTGAAACAAAACAATGACATTGAAGCAGATAATCTAATTTAAATATTTGGAATCATACATACCCTTCTTCACAAGACATATAAACCTTTGCACCAAATAGAGTCCCCTTGCTGGTGTCAAATATCATGTGTGGTTGTGGTTCAGGGGGACCACAGTCTTTCCCTTTGATAAAAAGAAACAACAAAAACATAACAAGGAACAACAGTCATCAGTGTGATATTATCTTGAGCGAAGATGACAATGTAAAGCATGTTAGATAACTGTTTTTGTCAGATGTAAATTGCAAGTAAGACAGGACTCACGCCTGCAGGTGATGTCTGGCTTGGTCCACTTCCCATTGACGCAGGTCATCTCCCCAGTGCCATTTACTTTGTCATTTCCAACTCTACACTTATAACTGATCACAGTACCATTAGGGAATATTTGTATTTGAAGGAATTCCTTTCTGATAACTATGTATTTTCCATTTTTAGGTTTTTGACAATCAGCTAGAAAAAAACAAAAATGAAGAAAAATGACACAAAGACACATAAAAGCAAAGCTGTTATTGTGACTTTTGTTATTTTAAAATGACTCTCCAACATAAGTTGAAAAATATGTTAGTTGAAGTAGGGCTGGGGCATATGAGGAAAATCTAATATCCTGATATATTTTTGCTATGTGACGATACACAGTATAAAATATTCTTAAATGAGCTGCAATTTGATTTCAATCTGGAAAGACTCAGACGGAGAAAAGCGAAACCAGTAGAAGAGTTTATTGACATACAAATTAGTCTTTGGTGCAGGGGCCCCAGCTGAGGACATCAATTATCGCAAATAACAGACATCAGTGTAGGACAACATAAACCTGCCACAAAGACCACCTGCCCCCCATGAAGACTCATGTAGTAATTGTACATTTTCATACTTCCCATTAATAATTTTTATAACCTATAAATTACATCAGATCACATTGTCAGCTATTTTCTTCCCTATGTAATCACTGCTCGACTTACAATTCTCTCTAAGCTACGTTTATTGTTGACAATTTGAACTGGGCCCAAGTGTGCATCTGCGCCAATGCGCATTTGCCTCGAGCCCTGTCTTGTCACCTGGTTGTGGTCCTCCAAACTTTTGTGGGGACTGCTCCATATTTTCTTCACTGACCACACACGTTGTTAATAGCCAATCTGGGAACATGCATTGTAAACTAGCTAAGGCCATAAATCATTTTGTTCATAATTTGTCTATACTTAAGACTTGTTCCCATTCAAAAAATAAACAGTAAAAAAATAAAGATAATTTGTGTTTTAACTCATGCTATCGTTTGCTTTTTTCATTATGTTAGAATACCAGTGAGACTTGTTCAAAAACCTATAAAATATATGAAAACTAACTGTCAGTCATTTAGTTAGGTTTCCAACTCAGGATGAATCATTGTCAGTTTTCTACAGTGCAGTGGTGAAATGATAGGCTAGACAATGAGCAATTTTAAAAGTGGTTGAAAGACAGCTTACATTATTCACAAATGTATTTGCAAACTGTATATTGTCTTGGCCAAAAGATCTTCTGTGAAGCCTGAAATAAAGCATCAGAACTTACCGATGCATTGTGGTTGCTTAGAATCATATCTGCCAGTATGAGTACACCTAATGGTTTTATTCCCAATCAGGGTGTATCCTTTGCGACACGAGAAATGTATCGTTTGATTATAATGTGGTGCCTTGTGTGTTCTCCATGTATGTTTTCCATTTTCCACTTTGGTGGGTTTGAAACAATGAACAACTGAGAAAATGAGAAAAAGAGCATTTCTGTTTCAGGTACACAATGCTTTGGCCAACTGTGTTGAAAAAAAAAAGAATTCAAACACTTACTGGTACAACTTCCATGTCCAACCCAATGTGAGCCTAAGCACTTTTTGTAGCCCCATCCCATGACCCTGTAACTGCATAAACACAAAAGAAGTCATAAAGAATGACAGAATCTGATGAACCATAAATAAAATATTAGCTTGTCAGTAAGATTTAACATAAAAAACTTTGCAACTAATTTCATATTTTCTGTTTATTCACACAGTCATTGTTTGAAGACAGAATCCAGACAACCCCGTGCCTCTTTAAGTAGGCTACAGGCTTTCTTTCTTCCCAAAATAACACAGGCTATAATCTTCTTTTTAAAAAAGAGAAAGTTCTGTTTAAAACTACAGCATATATTCACATCCATCGTCTATATCTGCTTATCCAGGCAGACTTATAGGGGGTTCAAGTGTCTATCTTGCACCCCTGAAACATTTCAATGATTCCCTCATGCAGCAGTTTAATGGAGTGAGACATAATCCTAGCAATACATGTTGCTCAATGTCATAAAGTGAAGGAAAAAACTAGTAAAATAAAATATTAAACTGCTAAGTAAAATGCAGAAATATGTTTTTATATAATGCTGCACTTTAAAAAGATAAAATAATACAAAGCAATAATATTTCTTCAACCTGTTGCACCTATCTTCTGTTTACTCCTTCCTTACAGGGTATGCTTCAATAAACGTGATGAAAGAAATATTTTTTTATGTTTTAAATCCTTGATATTAAACTCAAGTTCACTTACAAAGGTTAACAAATGACCTGAACTCATAAAGCAACAAAAAATGTCTAACACCGCCAAAAGACATTGTGCTGCGAATTGCAATAAGCTTAGATGAGCATTTGAAATGCTGATTTGAGATGTTTTCATCTCAAATCACCGTACTCTGCTGCGGGAGGTCGGATGGAAAGGATGGAAATGATGGAAGCCTGAAGGAGTCGGAGGCTTTGAGGTGGAGAAGGGGCGGAGGTGGGTTGAGCATGGCTGGAAAGCGGGCGTTGCCTTCGATCACGGTCCTTATACAAAGAAGCTTGATCGTGATTGGCTGTGACGGGGCATTGTTCGATGGTGACAGGCTCCTGACTTATGAATGTGACACAGTGACTGGATGATGCAGGTGAGGCTGAAGAGCCTTCCAGTGTCAATTTACTTTGAGGCTTCATTTCAACTCAGTTAATTTCCGATGTGATACATTCAATGGGCACACACAGTAGAAAAGGTAATAAACGAAGTCTGCGTTGATGTCAAAAACGACTCAGTACTCAAATTTATGAACAAAATTTGATTGAGGAGCCACCTAGTGGCGGAAATAAAATACTACATATAAAAAAGCTTAAAAACGGAAAACCAAACTAGAGAGCTGAAAACAATTACAGTAACTGACTATCTTTTCTACACCACAATTGAACTGAGTCTACCAAACTATTAAGTGTAAAGTAACCCTTAATGGAGTTACTGAAAGTCAGGGCATAAACTTGATTTTCTGAGATAAAACAATGGCATTGAAGCAGATTATATAGTTTATATATTTGGAATCATATATACCCTTTTTCACAGGTTATATATGCGTATGCACCATACAGAGTCCCTTGCCTGAGGTTAAATATCATGTGTGGTTCTGGTACAGGGGGACCACAGTCTTTTCCTTTGATAAAAAGAAACAACAAAAACATAACAAGGAACAACAGTCATCAGTGTGATATTATCTTGAGCGAAGATGACAATGTAAAGCATGTTGGATAACTGTTTTTGTCAGATGTAAATTGCAAGTTAGACAGGACTCACGCCTGCACTTGATGTCTGGCTCGGTCCACTTGCCATTGACGCAGGTCATCTCCCCAGTGCCACTTACTTTCTCATTTCCACGTTTGCACTCATATGTGATCACAGTACCATGAGGGAAATGATGTTTTCGAAGGGATTCCTCTGTGAGAACTGTGAGCTCTCCAAACTCAGGTATGGGACAATCAGCTAGGATGAACCAAAAATGAAGAAAAATGACACAAAGACACACACACATAAAAGCAAAGCTGTTATTATGACTTTGGTTATTTTAACATGATTCTACAACATAAGTTGAAAAATATGTTAGTTGAACTAGAGTTGAGGGATATGAGAAAAATCTAATATTCTGACATATTTGTGCTCTATCACGATACATGGTGTAATGGAAAAAAAATTACAATAAAGTCACACCTGCTAGTCATGTCACATGAAAGGTTTGTGAACTCTGACCAAAAGAAATATTTGGGTTACATGTACGAGGTTGAAAGTTTATTTTTCACAGCTACATGAGAACCAGATCGTCTCACCCCTTTTTTTTCATTCCTTATCCTTGCATAAAAATTCATGTGTTGTCTCTGCCTGGGAGAGCTTGGCGAGCTTTTCATCCAGACTGGCTTGATTATTGATTGTCCAATGAGCTCTCTGTATTGTGCACAATATAAAGATAAACCTGATTGAGTGATTCTACCTGAACAGTGCTTGGAAATATTTTTTCTTCCCGCGACAACAGTATATATCACGATATTGGTAAATGAGATTAAATGCTATTTTAAACTATAGAACCCTTGCAGCATGATGTCACGCCCCCGCCCCCATTTCCCTGCTAGACTTAAATGTAAGCTCATGTAAAAATGGATTCAGTATTTTGCTACGATCTGTCTACACTACGAATATGTAGCCGGGGCATCTTGTCCTGGAAGTATGGTGCTGTGCACTCTTCCTCTTGCCCATATGAGGAATATGTGTTGGAGTGCAGCTGGTTTATTAGGGACACATGTAATCGACATTTACATTTAAAAGCAGGTAGATCATTGAGGGGATGAGAGCCCAGGCTGGTTCATCCAGACGTATGTTTAACATGAAGTGTGCGCTGGGTTTAGAATTATTTTGGATGCCTCCACGACTTTGTTGCCGGAATCTGACTCTGAGAGGTCGTACAGAGCTCCGTTAACTCTTTCACTTTGGAGAAGGTAAAGGCAGTTTATTGTTATTATTTGGCTATTTAAGGCATTTGTCTAATTCTATTTCTTATGTGTGCAGGTTAGCCTGTTGCTGTTTCAGTTTTAGTTTAGTTTCAATTACAGTGTTGTATCAAGTTCATAATTTTATAAAGTTTATAATTTCTTTTCTGGATAGTTATTGATCAAAGCATTTTATTTTATTTCTTTTTTTTTTTTTTTTTTGTCTAAGGAAAGGGGGTGGGGGGGGAGCTCTCTGGCTTGTTTGTGAAATAAAAGGACCAGTGCTGTCCCTGGGTTCCAGTTTTATGCAAATTGAAGAGACCAGTGGAAGGGGAGTTTTTCTTTTCTTTGCTTTATTCATCAGGGATTTTTGTGCGAGTGTGTTTTTGTTTGGGAACACTCAGGAGCATTTAGTGATATTTGTATTTTCTTTATTACTATTACCCCCCCTCCCCCCCCTCCAAGCAGTCTAACTTTATTTAATAACTAACTTAATTATGGTTTTTAGCTGTAAAGTTTCCAGGGGCAGCATACACTTCTAGTTTTAGTGTGATCAGTGTTGCTGACGTCAGTAATTCATTTTTAAGTCTCCAAAACCTTTTGGATTGATATTGATGCTCTGTACCAATTACTTTTTTCTAACCTGCATTGTGTCTTATGTACATACATCTATAGTAGATTCTTTATCAGTTATTTTGACTCGGTAGACATTATAGATCATATGACGAACAAGTTAACTGCGAACGTCCAGCAAATGTTTTGTCAAATCTTAATAAATGTCTGATGGACGTTTGCTGTTGATTTGACGCTCTGCGTCGTTATGACAACGTTAAGTGGACGTTGTCTGAACGTTGTTAAAGTTAAGGTTATTTTTAAATAAAAGTGTTCTTATTTGTCAAAGTGACCCTGACATCAAACAAAACGTAATATGTTTTTATATGTGACAACAAAAAAATAGTACAATATTATATCTTTGAAGCCGGTTTGGCCGGTGACGTACTGACCTGCAACGTTCCCGATAAATAGGCACAGGATAAGGAGTTTTCTCTGTCTGCCGATGTCAACTAAACCCTTCATAGATGTGGAAGGAAATACAAACCATCCGGATGAAGCTGCCTCTACATCAGTCCAACTTTAGTCATGGAAATGTGGTGTGTAGAGACGCTCCTCACGGTGGAAATGATTCTCCTTCCATTGAAGTCAATTCACTTTCTTTAGTTACTAGAGGGAAATGAGGTGAGGTTGAAAAATTTCAAAATAAAAGTCTTGGTTTCCTAACATAAGTTACTGTTTTGGAATTCACTAATTCAAACAAACAATTTTCACAAGAATCCTAACCACGAAGCAATTTACATGCTTAATGACATTGTGTAATTAATTGATTTATTAATTCATTGTAATTAATTAATTATCTAATCTTCTGAGTGGAATTTTGGACATTTGTATTTCACTTTGTTTTCAAATACAAACTGATAAACTGATCTTTGATAGATCTCCCTTCAAATTATGCACTAGGAGAGTAACTGATGAACTTTAAATACAGTGAGTGATGTTATTAGAATTTAGTAATATGCTTTTATAACATGTTATTGAAAAGAAGGAAGCCACAGCCAAAAAGGTAAATAACATTACAAAATATTTGTACACAACAAATTTGTATTCGTATTTTATCTTTTTGGTAAGGGTAGATATCGTGCTGGTCTCACTATCGTTAAAGAAATAAGTTCAGCAATTCACCCAAAGAAACTGAAAACTATTCCTGCAGACATGAATTCCTCTTACTGTAAAAATAGTCTTGGCACTTTTTTCCTTTCTGTTTGTATCTTCAGTTTTTGTTTTGAGTAAAATAAAAGCTGGATAATCACTTATCCATTCTTACTTTTAATAATAATTTGGTAAGCTAACTGTACTGTGTTGCACTTTGAGCTCAGGTGACGTTACAGCACCAGGAACACAGTTTGAGAATGACTGACCAAGATGATAATTAATTCATCTCAGTCAATTTTAATTATTTTAATATAATTCTTCACTTATTAAAGCTAAAGAAATTTGACTTAATTCAGTAGCAGTGTTCAACCAGATTGTGATTTGAATATTGTTTTATCATTTTTATCTAAAAAATTCAGAACAAGGACAGAGAAAATCAGCAAAGTTTTATTTTTAGTGCATGAACAGAATACCATGTCAATGTCATAGCAATCCATTTTAAATATTTTCTTTTCATTCAAGGTTCCTCTTTTCTAATGAAGCAATGCAAGGCCACAGTCTGCTGCAAAGATGACGTAGAAGATGGTCAAAACAAAAGCATCTGAAAGTCAAGCAGTGCAGGCAAGATAGAGTGTTATCTTTCTCAGGACCAGAAAGATAATACCTGTACCTGGTATTCAGAGCTCGATTCACTCAAACAGTTTTGAGCACAAAACTCACAGTGTAAGCAGACTTGTAAACTGAAAACAACTTGATGAAATTCAAGTTTATCCTCCAGTTAGCTTTCATTAATGTGAACTTTATCACATATTTGTTACAGTACAACAAATATCTGATAAACAATGAATCAAATTTCACTGTTTTAAATTCTAATTCATTATTATAAGTTGCAGATTTTGTACTAATCCATCCATCCATCCATCCATCCATCCATCCATCCATCCATCCATCCATCCATCCATCCATCCATCCAATTATTGTTATCAAACTTGATCAAACACAGCGTTTTGAAGCCAAAAATACCTTAGAAATATAGAGAGCCAACCATTTAAAGTTTAAATTCAGTCACAGAAACACAAAGACCTGAGCATAAATGTTGGGCTGTTGAACTGAACTGTTCCAGGTCGCAGGCTGCACAGTGGCGCAGTTGGTAGCACTGTTGCCATGCAGCAAGAAGGTCCTGGGTTCGATTCCACGGAGTCTGCATGTTCTCCCTGTGCGTGCGTGGGTTCTTCCTCCCACAGTCCAAAAACATGACTGTCAGGTTAATTCTCCTTAGGTGTGAGTGTGTGCGTGGTTGTTTGTCCTGTTTGTCTCTGTGTCGCCCTGCGACAGACTGGCGACCTGTCCAGGGTGAACCCCGCCTCTCGCCTTGAACGCAGCTGGAGATAGGCACCAGCACCTCCCGACCCCGTTAGGGAGAAGGGTGACCGGACAGTGGATGGATGGATGTTCCAGGTCGCTATCAAGCTAATTTTCATTTGGCAGCTTTACAAATCTTTTACATTACATTACCAAGGCTCATTAAAACAAACCTTTATCTTGATTTCTTTTTCTACTCTTCCTCTTTCTTGTCTCCCTCCCAGAAGAATAAGTACTTTTTTGAGACATAGTTTTGCATATTTAACTTCTGGCCAGAGCTTTGGACGTTTGGATGCGCTCTGTACATTCCAAGGCAGCGAATGTTACCGGCGAATCGTGCGGTACCTACCGCAAGTATCAGGGGCACCCAAGAGCATTTTTTTTCTCTTTTTATCCATAAAATAATAATTTCAAGATATATGATCAAATATACATTATTCTAAGAACAAATCAGTTCATAGTGACATTGTGTGTTTTTGATACTATAATGACATTGATATTATTACAAAATAATAATAATAATAATAATAATAATAATAATAATAATAATAATAATAATAATAATAATAATAATAATAATAATAATAAATTCCACTGAGGGGGCCCCTTTGTGGCCCTGGGGCCCTAAGCAGCTGCTTAGTTTGCTTATGCCTTAGGTCGGACCTTGCTGGCTGTCATTCAGTATCATACCTTTTTGTAATGGGAGCTTCCACATTTTTGGTCCAGCATTAACATAATATAAATTGATCCCTTTCTGTTCCGGTAATTATTACATTACAAAGAAAAAAAAAACAACTTACAATTTATAACATGATATATATCAGTCAACGTAGACTTCTATGTTTTGTCCAGCAATGTCACCTTATAAAAGGGATTTATTGTGCGATGCACATCTTTATCTTCACATATGCATGAATAGATACATTGTAGACACATTCTTTCATTGTCAAATATAAATTATTTCTTTTGCTATTGTTTTTTCATCAGAAAATATTTCATTTTAAAGATGATTTGTAATCTTTCTCAATAAAATGGTTTGTTAATATTCTGCATACCAGACTAAAAACCCACAGTAAACAATCATGAAAAGAAAGAATCTTCTTCACTATCCTCCAATGCTAACTGTAAACTGTATTAAACCCACTGTATCATTCCTCAACAACTTGGATTATATGTCAGTCCTGATAAAACATCACATAATAGAAAAACCTGGAAACTCGCAGGCGTAATATTTTTGAAAACATTTAAGCTACACTTTTGTCAATGAGTGAAATAATTTAGAACATAAGTAGAAAAAGTGTTTACAACACATTTAGTAGAAATAAAAGAGATTAAGTGAAATAAAGTATTTTCCATGTTTTAGTAATTAAGTCAGAATAATTATAAAAATGTTCTCTTTGCCTGTGCAGCATATCTTCCCCTTCTCTCATTACTGACTTTCCTGTTTAACTGATCTCCCCTAAAGGCCACTACAGCCAATGAAACTGTTAAGAAAACATGCATCTAAAAATTAAACTTTGAAACAATACAATACCCTTCATGATGTTTTGTTTTCTTCTTTTGAAGTGAAAACAAATATAAGTTGAGAAAAGGGAGCCTGCTTGTTTTATCCAAGACTTGGTAAGGCGCTCAGAGTTCAGCAGTCCTTCATCTGTAGTAAATGTCCCAACAGCTGGGTCCAGTTCCAACTGAGAAAGAAACAGATAAGAAACCAAGGACTGACTGTTTAATCAGAGTTGCATTTTGATTGTGGTGGGAAAAAATGACAATCGGATCAAGAGCTATTTCTTCTTGCTTCAAAATGAAAATCATATTTATACTTAATGATTCACACAGAAAATTACAAGAAGAAAAATGAAGAAGTTAAAACAGTTTAAACAGGATTGTTTGGTATTCTGATGGTCTTGGGTCAAAAAGTACATGAAATGGATACCTGAATGAAGAAGGATACTTAAAGAGGGTGAAACTGTAATAGCTCTGGCGTCAGCTCTTCTCCAGGATGATATGAACTATAGTGTCATCAATTAAGAAATTTGTGTAAGAATTATTGGACAGTTCATTTTTTTTAAATTAAAAGTTAACTAATTAATGCATACGTAACTAGCATTCCATGGAATTAAAGGTTAATCATTTTAATAAAAATATTTTTGAATAAAAAAAATACCAGTAAATTTAGACAAAATTAAGGCTGCCTTTTAAATAGGTTAACCTTCCTAAGTGTTTTTACATTACTCTGTTATTAAAAACTAACAAACACAATAAAACCCTTGAAGATGAATGCTTGTACATTGTTTCAGGGATTTTCAGTTAATTTAACATGGAATGGAATCAAAGTGTTCAACTTTACCGTGTATTTACATGTAAACATGCAGAAGTTGAAGGGAGAGAAAAGGAGCAAGATGAAAAGCTTAAATATATGTATACAGCACTGGTAAAAATTAAGAGATCACTTAAAATGATCAATCTCTCTGATTTTACTTTTTTACATGTTTGAGTAAAATAAACATTGTTCTTTTATTTTATGAACTACTGACAACATTTCTTTGAAATTCCAAGCAGAAAGACAGTATTTATTTGCAGAAAATTAGATAAGGTCAAAATAAATAAAATAAAAATAAATAAATAAAAATAAAAAAAATAATAATGATAATAAAAAATGCAGTGCTTTCAGTCCTCAACTAATGCAAAGAAATCAAGTTCATGTTCATTTAGAAACAACAATAGTTATGTTTTAGCACAGGAAAAGTGCAGAAATCAATATGTGGTGGAATATTGATAAGGTTTTCAGTGGGGGTCAGTCCATTGGTTTCTTTTTTCTTTGTTTCAGAGCTGTATATAAAGATATCCAGTTGTTTGTAAGTTTAAAATACAATCTCTCACCATTGGTTCCACACACAAAAGATGTTGAAAATAAATCCAAGTGAACAGCCAACTGTGAAGGAAATGAAAGAAAGAATAGATGTTTTGATATTTTTGCATTTCAGCCACAGAAAATGATAATATTTATTTCAAAGAGACACTTTAATTTATGTTACCTGCCGCAAATATCACCACCGGAGTTAAAAAAGTTGTATTTCCTGCAAAGATAAAAGAATGTTAAAACCCAACCTAAAAGGATTGGGTTTTAACCCTCTTAGGTTAAAACCTAACTTTAGATTAGATTGCTCTTAATCTAAAGTTTTGCTCTTTAGATTAAGAGCAAAACTAAAGATGTTGCTCTAATTTTTAGATTTCAAAATACTCTGGTCTGCAAGTTCAAAACAGTGTAGAAAATGGATTTACAAAATTACAGCAATGATTCAATTATGTCTTTATGAAGAAAACATCAACATAGTTCAATATGCACAATTCTTCAGAAAACTAATAAAAAATTACTCCTGCTTTAGAGAAACATTCACTTATGATTCTCCAAACATGCCACATTACTTGTGTGATTATTTCGTAATGCAGTGACTCACCAAGGTCGTCTCCAGACCAGTGATCAATGTAGAAGTTTTCAACTTCTGCATCGTCTGAGAAATCTATAATTTATTTACTGCTGAGGAACACAGAAAATTCCCTTGATTGTGATACAAAAAAAAAAAAGAAAAATTTGCTTTCCAACTTCATTTAAAAATACATTTTAAAGTTTTTTGAAGAAAACTTTTGATACAACTTAATGAGGTGAATGTTGATGCACTGGTTGTAGTAATATTTTCATCAGATGATATTTTTTAGCCTTTAAATGACAAAGTTAGCATCATTCTCGTTTATTTCCAAATTTGAATAAAATACATAGGTGCCCCCAGAATTTTCGACCATTTCTTATTTTTCACAAATCAATACTGTTGTTCTTGGAATTTCAAAGACATATTTTGAGTAGTTCACAGAATCACGTCCTACTCATGGGGGAACCATAGGGAGACTCAGAACCTGCTGGAGGGACTATGTCGGCTGGCCTGGGAACATCTTGGGATTCCAACAGAGGAGCTGGCCCAAGTTGCTGGGAGAGAGACATCTGGGACTCCCTACTGACAATGTTATCCTCACGACCCGACTCAATACAAAGATGTGGTAAGGAAATTATTTTCCATAGAACTTTACATAAATATATTTTACCCTCCAGTGAATGTGTCACAAAAAAAAAAGTAAAAATGTGAATCTATGCAAAAATATGTTTACACATTCTATGCATTGTTTTGTTGCAGGAATAAATGAAATACTTTTTGTTGTAATTTTGCCTTTTGTGGTCTATTCTGTGACAAAGGATTCAGCTGCAATCCTCCTGAGTTCATGTCTTCTGCATTTTAACATATTCTAAATATGCAACATGAAGCTAATTTTAATTTGGCATGAACAACACACTTTATCTACAACTGTCATTCATCCACCATCCATTTGTTTTTTAGGTGTAGTTCTTAGTAACCATTTATGTTGCAATCTCTTATTCAAAACTGCTAATCTCCACTTTTACCAGCAAGACACATTTTGACAAATGATCAACAGGTTAGGGTAAAATAACTTTCATATTCAAGGACTCACTCTTGCAGATTAGATCTGGCTCAGTCCAAGTCCCATCAATGCAGGTTATGATCTCAGAGCCACTTTCTTTTTCAAATCCATTGGCGCACTCATATGTAACTTTGGTACCATCTGGGAAATTCTCTCTTAGGAGGGATTCATTCGTGAGAACCATGTTCTCCACACTTTTAGGTATGGGGCAATTACCTAGGAAAAAAATATAAATCTTGCATGAGCCTTGTAGTTGAGCAGCATTTCATCTGCCATTACCCAACATTGATGCTGCAGCCTACTAACAAGACCACCAAGGCCCCATAACGACTTATATAGTAATTGTAGATTTTCATTCTTAATGTTATTAATTTTGTTCAACTAAATAACTTCAGATCATGTTGTCAACCATTTCCTTCCCTTTGTGATCACTCCTCTGCTTTCAGTTCTTCTAAAGCTAGGTTTATTGTTGACAATTTGAACCTGCTTGGGGACCTACACATATTTGTAGGGATTGCTCTGCATGCACCATCTTTCACTCAAATTGTATGGTTGCATTTCAACTCATTGTATGATTACAGAGCAGGTTGATCTTTACCAGCATTTCTATGAACCCTCTCTGAGGATTCATTTCTGAAGAATCAGGGATGGATTTTTTTTTTTTTTTTTTTAACTGGCCACATGGGCTGGCAAAGAAAACTTTTCATTGTCGACACAAACATTTCACAAGCCACTGTTTTCTTACCTCATTCCATGCTAAGTGGCTCTCATTGTGCTTATCAGGAACCTAAAAGCTACAGAAATAGCTTGACAAATTTTTCCAGATTGATAAATATCAGAGATGTTGTCATCTCATCTTAAAATAACTTAGAACAAGTCATAATATGTTGCTTATTTAGTTCTTCATAGACATGTTGTCTGGGAGTCTCAAAGTATATTTGATGTTTCTTATTAGTTCGGTGTGAAATCTACAAAAGGCTGGAAATAGAGTGTATATTATTATCCTCTAATGAATGTGTCACAAAGTATAATATAAACACAATAATAAACTATGATGAGATTTGTGCTTTTATTGTACATACATTGATTTGTGGTTGAGCTTTGTAGTTGTCTTTAATATATAAATCAGGGAAGGAAGTTTAGCATGTTCTCCATTGCTCACAGTGGCTGGTGAAGAAAACATTTCATTGACTTTTTTACCAGCCACTTTTTTTGTCTTTGTATTGTCATCCGTTCTTAAAATTACTTTGATCATGTTACAATGTGTTGCTTTTTTTTTTTTTTTTTAGATATTTATAGCCAAGCTGTCAGGGAGTATATATTTAATGCTCATTGTCAAAAGAGGGGACAATAATTTTCATAAAATTTAATATAAATATACATTTTCAGTGATTTTGTCACAAAGTATGATATAAGCACAATAATAATCACTGCTTGGATTATGCTTGTATTGTATACACTTTGAATTGTGGTTGGGATTTTTAGCTCTATTATATATACAATCACAAACCACGGGATATTTTTTTTGGAGTGGGGGTTTTCGGCACATCATTGAAAATATTGCAACAAAAGATTCAAACTTTTCCTTTTACAATTTCACTGCAAGAACAAAAGTAAGTGTTTCTTTTATGGAAAAATATGTTGTTAATGGCACATCTGGGCCAACATTTATAGCAACTAAAGCTATAAATATTATAGTGTCCATAATTTGTTTATATTTAACACTTGTCCCCATTCAAAAAAAAAACAAAAACAAAAGCATGGTTTACTTTTTTTTGATCACGTTAGAAACTGAATGACATTTGACAATAACCTATGAAATAAATTAAAAATAACCATTAGTCGTGATACTGTTAGGTTTCCATCTCAGGATGGATCATTGTCAGTGTTATACAGTGGTGAAATGATAGGCTGGACAATAAGTTATTTTACAAATTAGTGGAAACACGGTTTACTTTATTCACAAATGCATTTGCAACCTGTTTGAATATTGTCTTAGCTAACATTAGGGTGACCAGACGTCCCTTTCCGGGGACAGTCCCCGTTTTAGGTGACGTTTCCCCGGCTGAAGCCGTCCCCGGAAAACTCCACAATTTTAGTATTTTTTTTGAACGAGAAAAAAAAAAAAAGTTTGTTATTACGGTAGCGGGAAATTCCATTGCCCCTTTTCCACCGGCTCGGCAGGAAGTAGAAAGCGCAAGTGAGCATGTTACGCGCAGCTACGGCAGTTACGGTAGCTGCTCGCACTACTGTTAACGTTACAGAGAAGAAGAGCATCATAGCCAACCGCCAATAAAAATGAAGAAAAGCAGTGTGCGCTGTCAGAAAAGACAACAAGCTGGAAGAAGAAGCTCCAGTTTTGAGCAGCTGACCTGATACGGTACGTGTGAAACAACGCGTTTTGTTTGAACTGCAAGTTGTTTGAACTTGCCGTCATTTTGTTCACAGTAAAATAAAACTAAACCTTTATTAACAAACACAACAAGACGAGAGCACAATGAACAGATACAGAATTAGCCAGAAGGAGAGAAATAGTAACAGGATGGTTAAAATAATCTCATTGTAAAAGGAAGATGTTTTGGAATTAACTGGTTATTTATACATGTAAAGTTTATCACAAAAAATGGAATTACTCAGTGACAAGAAAATTGAATGAAGATGAGCCTGAACTGAAACTGATGAGGATGGAGAGATCATCTCTTCTGTTTGTCCAAACATCTTTATTTCTTTTTGGCTAAATATGGAATTTTTGATATTTCATCAGCTGATGAAAAAGGTTAATATTTATACTAAGATTTTACTAGGAAGAATCCAGCTCCTCATCTCAAAGTAACCAAATTCTAAAAGAAAACAAATCTAATTTTATTTCTTAAATTGTACATTTTCAGTACGTAATATACGTTCAAATGTTTTTGGGGGAGTTTGAGATGATTTTGTTTTAGTTTACTGGCAGACTGATAAAAGATGAGACAGGAGGAAATATTCTGATAGAACTGAATGAATGAGGAAAATGCGAAAACTGACAAAGCTGAGGAGAAATATGAAATATAAACATATTTAATATCTTATATCTTGCATTTTAAGTGTTTCTCTTTACTATTCTTATGGTGTTTTTCAGTTTTTCACATAATCTTTTCTGCTCTTATTTCATCCAGACGTCTGCCTGATCATGTGGCTGATGGCTCTTCAGACCCAGGAGGGTTTTCACATCCAGACATGAAGTCATGTTAGTGGACCTTCTGACCAGAGTACACTCATCTCAGACACACACAGTGCCCTTACATATCAACTACATAACTTTACACACTCACGTATTTATGGACACTTATGTGTCCATTCATACACAACATCCACTAGTGGACAAAGTTGTTGGTATCTTCTGGTGAAGACTGAAAAACCCACAGTGTCACTGAAACAACCTGAAACTGACAAAAGTGATAAATGAAGATTTACTGAAAATTAGTCAATACAAAATTAGACATGGTTTTTAATTGAGGTTCAGCAGAATAAGAAAATGACAGACCAAGATGACTACAGTTATACAGATTATTCTGAAACTTAAAGGTCTACAGGACTGGAGCCATTCAGCCTGGCTGTGATTCTCTTGAATCATATCATAATTCAAGAGAATTATGATATTAATGTTTACTAAAAGTCCAGAACAACTAAGTTTAGAAAGTAAAGGTGAACTACAAGGTCAAAGAAGACTTCATGTGAGATGACCAAGGTGGAAAGCAAATCATTAAAAAGTGAGGCTGGAATTTATCACAGAGACCTTTGGATAGATGAGACAAAATATACATCAGCTCTATGATCACAGACACAAAAATGCTAATAAGCTTTAACCGCCATCATTTTAATTGAGCCGCAATCTAAATAAGTTTGTCAGTAAACATTTTTTTACTACTTTTGTCCGTTTTAAGTTACTTCAGTTACCACTGGGGGCTTTTTCTTCATTAACAGAGGGGTACCAACTATTCATCCATGCTTGCTTACAAAGTATGTACACAATTTGCCCCCATATTTCCAGTTTTAGTTTTCTATTGATTTTATTATTATTATTATTAATAGTAATATTACCACTGTGTGTAGAGACATGTTCATGCTTTTATGTTCTATTTTTAATGTTTACATATGAATAAATATGTAAACTGTAACTGTCCCAGTTTCTTCATTTTATTTAGATAAATTTGCTTTCTCTTTATAGCTGAGCGAGAAATGTCCCCAGATTTATTCTTGGAAATCTAGTCACCTTAGCTAACATATTTTCTGTAGATCCTGAAAAAAAGGACAAGAACTTACGGACACATCGTGGTGGCTCAGAATCATATTCACCAGTTTCAGTACACCTAATGATTTTATTCCCAAACAAGGTGTATTCTGTGTTGCATGTGAAATGTATAGTTTGTCGATATTCTGGTTCAAGATCACTAATCCAAGAATGTCTGCCATTTTCCACTCTGGTCGGTTTGGAACAAGTAACAACTGGAAAAATTGGCAAAAGAAAAAGAAAATTGCTGTTTCAGGAAAAAAAATACTTCAGCTGAAAAAAAAAGAGAGAATAATTTAAACTGAACAACACTTACCTTCACAAATTGAAGTTCCAAACCATCCTGTGTCAAGGCACTGTCTGGAGCTCGGCCCATTGAGCCGGTAACTGCATAAACAAAAGAAGTCATAAAGACTGATAGTATCTGTTTGACCACATGAAGAGTTCAGCTGGTGAATAACATTCAATAATTAAAGATTATGCTACTAATTTTAGATTTTCTATTTACTCTTTCACACAGAGTCATAGTTTGCTGATGGGATGCAAAAACCCAACCTTTAAGGAGATAGCAGGCTATATTTTTTCTCAAAATAGCGATGGCTATATTATCTTTTTTTATGAAAGACAAACTTTTGTTTTGCTTTAAAGTAAAATTGCACAGAATAGATGCACATCTCTCCATGCTGCATTTGTTGCACCATTTTACATAGATAGAAAGAATCAGGATAGTTCTGTTAATTTGCTTCTCTCATGCAGCATTGTAATGGAGTGAGACATAACATGACACATGTTGCTCAATGTCATAAAGTGAAGGAAAAAAGCTAATTATTAAACCAAAACAATAATAAACTGGCAAATAAAGAATAAATCTTTATATATTTCTGCAAAATAAAATGACTACTGGCAGGTTTCTAATTTCTGCCATTAGTTTAACAGCCATTATGTAATACATAACTGACTCACAGAAAGGTAATGTCTGACTACTCATAAAACAAACAAACAAACAAAAAAACCCTCTTCTGCAGTTCACAAAAGAATAAAGGATTACCTATAAGAGCTAATTAATAACCCAAAATAATACAATTTGGTTAAATATCTGCATTTTAACAGTTTGCTGCAGACAAAATGTCAACATAGGCTTCTATCTTCTACTATTAGGTTATTTTTCAGACTACAAATATGTTTGCATCAGATTTACATAAAGACTGGGAGGAAGGAACAAAGCATGCTCCTAAGTTGCTTTTTTTTCATGCAGCAGATTCATGGAAGGTTAGGAGAGTGAAAAAGCCCCTCGTAGTGGATGTGGCACTATCAATTAATCCAAGAAAAGAGTTACTAATTGATTACTAATATGTGGATTGCAATTTTCTTAAATCAAATAATACCACCATTAATCCATACATCCATTTTTGTCTTACACCCTTATCCCATCAAGGTCGGGATGGGTGCTGGTGCCTATCTCCAGCTGTCACAACGATTAATCAATTATGAAAAATACATTTTTAACAATGTTTTTATTGTAGGTAATATTATTAATAGACTTATCTGAAATATTAATTTTGATTATAAACCATTTTAATGTCAACTCTTCTAATACTAAATCACATAACAACTGCATAAAACATCAGCAAATTGCACTGGAGATAGAATAAAAGTCCTTCAACCTATTCCACCTGTCTTTAGCAACCATTGCAAAAAGGTCATTCATACTCCCTCATAAGGTATGTTTTACTCACGGTGAAAAAAGTAGTCATTTTTAATAATATATTAAATATTTGAATCTTAATTCAGGTGATTAACTCAGATTTTCTTTACTGAATATTCACACATTAAATAAAAGCACTGAATTGAACTCATAACGCAAGAAATTTCTATGAAACTTAAGTCTGAAAAAATTATAAACAGTTCGATAAACATTATATAACTAAATTCAACTCAGTTAATGTTCAATTTTATTTTGACATATATTTGTACAAATTTTACTGGCTCTGTTTTTTTTTTTAAATGTGCGGACATATCTAGATGCACATCCTGACAAAAATTTAATTGCTAAATATTACATAAATACTGGTATTGCAGCAATGAACATGTTAGTGTCCCTCATGATTTCGGGCACCGAAACACATTTGGTCTGGTTTAAACAGATCAAAGTTTGTTTCCCCTGTTGGTCCAGACCTTTTATGGAACTGTGAATACAGTCATGCAAATCCTGGTGTGAACCAAACAACCAAACTGAGACTAATTTTTTGAGGTGGTCTCTTGACTTGCAGTAAATTGGCCTCAAAATCTTAGTCTCAGTTTGATTAAAGTGAAATCTGGAACAATTATTTTTAGGTTCTCCGCTTTCAAACAAATTCTCGTACAGTTCGCCTTGGGTGCAAACCAAATACATGAAATATCCATCTTTTTAGACTTCACAATTCCTTGTTGGTTGGTATTATGGTAAAAATGAACACATCAGAGTTGCCTGCACTTCCATATGTGGTGATTTTAATGAACTTGTACCTGTTCTCCGGTTTTCTACTTAGCAATGCTGTTGCCAGTTTGTGTTGGGTCAGCGCAGGTGGAACAAACACATTTGCAAACTGTTTCAAAATTAGAAATATTCCATCGCTATTCCTGTGTCAAATGAACTGCTGTTGATGTTCTAAATTATGGTTACTTAAATAGGGAAGTGTGAATGCACATCCAGACACACCAAGAAAGCAAACTCTGAGCTGCCTCAAAATCTAGGACTCAGTTTGATTAAAGTGAAATCTGGAACAATTTGTATGTGGATGCAAGAGGACTAGTGATCATTAAAAAAGCAAGAAGGGAACCATGGCGCAAGGCACAATTGGTAAATATAACCAAAACAAAAGGAAGAAATGGCTCATGGTCTATTTCTAAAAACAAAAGAGAAATCTTCGAAGCGCATTTTGTTTACATTTTGTGAAGAAGAAAGATGCACTCATGTCTTCTCAGCTTTTCATGTTATTTGTTCAGTAGATCTGCAAAGCCACCACAGGCAATGGGGTGAAAAGGTTTTTTAGTTACTTTGAATTGTTTAAAAAAGTACAGTATGAACGCGAACCACACCAGTTAAAATGGAACAAATGTTGCAATTCTGGTCCTCATTTGAACTGAGCCAAGCAGACTATCGGGTGTGAAAAGATTGTTTCGAGTTCTTGCAAGTCAAGGCATACACTTGATTTTCTGAGACAAAACAATGACATTGAAGCAGATAATCTAATTTAAATATTTGGAATCATACATACCCTTTTACACAAGATACATAAACCGCTGCACCAAATAGAGTCCCCTGGCTGGTGTCATATAACATATGTGGCTGTGCTTCAAGGTGACCACAGTCTTTCTCTTTGATATAAAAATACAACAAAAATAAAAATAAAAAAGAAGAGCAGATATCAGTGTAGGACTAAATAAGCCAAAGATGACCTTGAAAATCGTGTTGATAACTGTGTTTTTTAGATATAAAATGCAATTTAGACAGGACTCACTGCGGCAGATGATATCTGGCTTGGTCCAGTTCCCATCATCGCACGTCATGATCCCAGTTCCATTTACATTCTTATATCCAATTATGCACTCATATCTGAGCTCGGTACCTGATGGGAAATCCTTTTTTAGAAGGGATTCTTTTGTGAGAATTATGTTCACTCCAACGTCAGGTATGGGGCAAAAAGCTAGGGCGAAAAAAATATGCATGAGCCTAGAAATTTATTAGCATTTTTCACCTCCCATTATCCATTGGCAGGCGCTCCACCCTGCCACAAAGTCCACCTGCCCCCCCATGAAGACTCATGCAGTAATTGTACATTTTCATACTTCCTATTAATAATTTTTATAACCTATAAATTACATCAGATCACATTGTCAGCTATTTTCTTCCCTATGTAATCACTGCTCGACTTACAATTCTCCCTAAGCTAGGTTTATTGTTGACAATTTGAACTGGGCCCAAGTGTGCATCTGCGCCAATGCGCATTTGCCTCGAGCCCTGTCTTGTCACCTGGTTGTGGTCCTCCAAACTTTTGTGGGGACTGCTCCATATTTTCTTCACTGACCACACACGTTGTTAATAGCCAATCTGGGAACATGCATTGTAAACTAGCTAAGGCCATAAATCATTTTGTTCATAATTTGTCTATACTTAAGACTTATAAAATATATGAAAACTAACTGTCAGTCATTTAGTTAGGTTTCCAACTCAGGATGAATCATTGTCAGTTTTCTACAGTGCAGTGGTGAAATTATACGCTAGACCATAGGTGTCAAACTCTGGCCCGCGGGCCAAATTTGGCTCGCAGTGTAATTATATTTGACCCGCGAGGCAATTTCAAATGAATATTAGACATTTACGTCAGAAAGGAGGCATTAAATGTTTATTTAAATTTTATGTAATATATTTAATATTTTATTTTATATATTAAATATGTTTTATTTAATATAATATGTTTTATTATTATTAGTAACTCAATTTTGCGCACCTGCACTTTTAAGTTAGATAAGCTTTGCTTGTTCAATATTTATTGTTATTTTAGAACTTGTTTGGGTCCATATTAAAAGATTCATTTGTTCAACCTTGGCCTGCGACTTTGTTCAATTTAAAGTTTTGGCCCACTGTGTATTTGAGTTTGACACCCCTGGGCTAGACAATAAGCAATTTTACAAGTGGTTGAAAGACAGCTTACATTATTCACAAATGTATTTGCAAACTGTATATTGTCTTGGCCAAAAGATCTTCTGTGAAGCCTGAAATAAAGCATCAGAACTTACCGATGCATTGTGGTTGCTTAGAATCATATCTGCCAGTATGAGTACACCTAATGGTTTTATTCCCAATCAGGGTGTATCCTTTGTGACACGAGAAATGTATTTTTTGATTATAATGTGGTGCCTTGCGCGTTCTCCATGTATGTTCACCATTTTCCACTTTGGTGGGTTTGGAACAATTAACAACTGAGAAAATGAGAAAAAGAGAATTTCTGTTTCAGGTACACAATGCTTTGGCCAACTGTGTTGAAAAAAAAGAATTCAAACACTTACTGGAACAATTTCCATGTCCAACCCACCGTGTGCCTAAGCACATTCTGTAGCCCCATCCCATGACCGTGTAACTGCATAAACACAAAAGAAGTCATAGAGAATGACAGAATCTGATGAATCATAAATAAAATATTAGCTTGTCAGTAAGATTTAATATAAAAAATTTTGCAACTAATTTCATGTTTTCTGTTTATTCACACAGTCATTGTTTGAAGACAGAATCCAGACAACCCTGTGCCTCTTTAATTAGGCTATAGGCTTTCTTTCTTCCCAAAATAACACAGGCTATAATCTTCTTTTTAAATAAGAGAAAGTTCTGTTTAAAAATACAGCATATATTCACATCCATCGTCTATATCTGCTTATCCAGGCAGGCTTATAGAGGGTTCAAGTGTCTATCTTGCACCCCTGAAACATTTCAATGATTTCAATTTGATTCCCTCATGCAGCAGTTTAATGGCGTGAGACATAATCCTATTAATACATCACTTAAAGTTCTTTAGAGCTCGTACACCAGCAAAAGACATTGTGCTGCGAATTGCAATAAGCTTAGATAAGCATTTGAAATGCTGATTTGAGATGTTTTCATCTCAAATCACCGTACTCTGCTGCGGGAGGTCGGATGGAAAGGATGGAAGCCTGAAGGAGTCGGAGGCTTTGAGGTGGAGAAGGGGCGGAGGTGGGTTGAGCATGGCTGGAAAGCGGGCGTTGCCTTGGATCACGGTCCTTATACAAGGAAGCTTGATCGTGATTGGCTGTGACGGGGCATTGTTCGATGCTGACAGGCTCCTGACTTATGAATGTGACACAGTGACTGGATGATGCAGGTGAGGCTGAAGAGCCTTCCAGTGTCAATTTACATTGAGGCTTCATTTCAACTCAGTTAATTTCCACACACACTAGAAAAAGGTAATAAACGAAGTCTGCGTTGATATCAAAAACGACTCAGTACTCAGATTTATGAACAAAATTTGATTGAGGAGCCACCTAGTGGCGGAAATAAAATACTACATATAAAAAAGCTTAACGGAAAACCAAACTAGAGCTGAAAACAATTACGGTAACTGACTATATTTTCTACACCACAATTGAACTTAGTCTACCAAACTATTAAGTGTAAAGTAAACCTTAATGGAGTTACTGAAAGTCAGAGCATAAACTTGATTTTCTGAGATAAAACAATGAAATTGAAGCAGATTATATAGTTTACATATTTGGAATCATATATACCCTTTTTCACAGGTTATATATGCCTTTGCACCATACAGAGTCCCTTGCCTGAGGTTAAATATCATGTGTGGTTGTGGTACAGGGGGACCACAGTCTTTCCCTTTGATAAAAAGAAACAACAAAAACAACAAGGAACAACAGTCATCAGTGTGATATTATCTTGAGTGAAGATGACAATGTAAAGCATGTTGGATAACTGTTTTTGTCAGATGTAAATTGCAAGTTAGACAGGACTCACGCCTGCACTTGATGTCTAGCTCGGTCCACTTCCCATTGACGCAAGTCATCTTCCCAGTGCCACTTACTTTCTCATATCCAAGTCTGCACTCATGTGTGATCACAGTACCATCAGGGAAATGCTGTTTTAGAATGGATTCCTCTGTGAGAACTGTGAAATCTCCATGTTCAGGTATGGGACAATCAGCTAGGACGAACCGAAAATGAAGAAAAATGACACAAAGACACACACACATAAAAACAAAGCTGTTATTGTGACTTTGGTTATTTTAACATGATTCTACAATATAAGTTGAAAAATATGTTTTTATCAGTACTTTTGACTCGGTAGACATTATAGATCATATGACGAACTGCGAACGTCCAGCAAATGTTTTGTCAAATCTTAATAAATGTCTGATGGACGTTTGCTGTTGATTTGACGCTCTGCGTCGTTATGACAACGTTAAGTGGACGTTGTCATAACGTTTAATGCTAGACGGGTAGTTGTTAAAGTTAAGGTTATTTTTAAATAAAAGTTTTCTTATTAGTCAAAGTGGCCCTGGCATCAAACAAAACGTAATATGTTTTTATATGTGACAACAAAAATTAGTACAATATTATATCTTTGAAGCCGGTTTGGCCGGTGACGTACTGACCTGCAACGTTCCCGATAAATAGGCACAGGATAAGGAGTTTTCTCTGTCTGCCGATGTCAACTAAACCCTTCATAGATGTGGAAGGAAATACAAACCATCCGGATGAAGCTGCCTCTACATCAGTCCAACTTTAGTCATGGAAATGTGGTGTGTAGAGACGCTCCTCACGGTGGAAATGATTCTCCTTCCATTGAAGTCAATTCATTTTTTAAGTTACTAGAGGGAAATGAGGTGAGGTTGAAAATTTTCAAAATAAAAGTCTTGGTTTCCCAACATAAATTACTGTTTTGGAATTCACTAATTCAAACAAACGACTTTCACAAGAATCCTAACCACGAAGCAATTTACATGCTTAATGACATTGTGTCTCCAATGTCCTGAGTGGAATTTTGGACATTTGTATTTCACTTTGTTTCGAATACACCCTTGGATTTGTAGGATTTTATGTTTTTGCTGTAGAGATTTAAGGGGAGGTATGTGCTTCTTAGAGTCAAAAATTCTTACAATCAAGAATCAAATAAGAAAAAAAGGCAAATCAAGTTAATTAATCTTTAAGAATTCAGCTGATGGCATAATCAAGACAGGTTTATATATATATATATATAAAACTTTTGCCTGGACTTTCATCTATATATCCTGGCCAGGAAAAGCCCAGAGAGGACATGTGGGTCCCCCTTTCTATGGACTCATCACCTGTGCAAGAGGGACTACAGAGTGTGATTTACATGTCATTTGACAACTTGGAGAAGGCATTCAACGGTGTCATTCCCTGTGTGAGGTACTCTGGGAGTATGGCATACCAGGCCCTGTGACACAGTCTTTTGTGATCTGTGTCAAAGCATGCTCCACATGATAATAGGATGGTGGGTTCATATCCGATGAGAAAATGAGTCCAAGGTTTATTTGTCCACTGTTGCATATTCTGTTCATAACTTTCATGAAAAGAATCTGTAAATCCAGTTAAGACATTTAGGGGGGTTGTTTTGGTGTCCTTATGATTGTGTGTCTGCAGATGATGTAGTCCTATGGGCTTCATCAGGCTGTTAAGTTTTGACTGGAGTGGTTTGCAGCCGAGTGTGAAGCGGTTAGGATGATAATCAGTGCCTCCAAATCCGAGGCCATGCCCTTGAGCCAGAAAAGGTTAGAGTGCCTTCTCAGGATCACTGAAGGGTTCCTACCCCAAGTGGAGGAGTCTAAGTATCTTGGGATCCCACAAATGAAGGAAAAATTGATCAATAGGCCAATCAGTGCAACTTCTACAGCGAAATGGGCACAGTACTGGTCTCTTGTCGTGAAGAGAGAACTGAGTCAAAAGTCGAAGTTCTTAATTTACCAGTCTACTTACGTTCCTACCCTTATCTATAATCACGAGCTTTGGGTAATGACCAAAAGAATGAGATTACGAACACAAAATGAATTTTCTCCACAAGGTGTCTGGGCTTCCACTTAGAAATAGGGTGAGAAGTTTGGTCCTCCAGGAGGGACTCAGACTACAGCCGCTGCTTCTCCACATTGAGAAGACTAGCTAGGATGCCTCCCTTGTGAGTGTTATGGACATGTCCTACTCAGTGGGGAACCATAGGGAGACTCATAATGTGCTGGAGGGACTATGTCGGCTGGCCTGGGAACGCCTTGGGATTCCGACAGAGGAGCTGGCCCAGGTTCTGGAGAGAGAGAAATCTGGGACTTCCCACTGCTATCCTCACAACCCAACTCAATATTGTGGTATGGTAAGGAAATATCTAAAGAGGACACATTCTTTTTAATAAACTTTTATAGAAATATATATTTTCCTCATCACAAAGTAAAAATGTGAAACTATGCAAAAATATTCTTGTTTTCTATACATTGTTTTTTTGCAGGAGTAAATGAAGTACTTTTTTGTTGTAATTTTGCCTACTGTCGTCTATTCTGTGACAAAGGATTCAGCTGCAATCCTCCTGAGTTCATGTCTTCTGCATTTTGATATATTCTACATATGCAACATGAAGCTAATTTTAATTTGGCATGAACAACACACTTTATCTACAACTGACATTCATCCACCATCCATTTGTTTAGAGGTTTAGTTCTTAGTAATCATCTATTATGCAATCTATTATTCAAAACTGCTAATCTCCACTTATATATATTAGCAAGACACATTTTGACAAATGACCAACAGCTTAGGTTAAAATAACTTTCATATTCAAGGACTCACTCTTGCAGATTAGATCTGGCTCAGTCCAATTCCCATCAATGCAGGTTATGATGTATATGCTGCACTCATGATGTTAGTGAGCTAGGCAGCTCGCTAACACTTGAGCTTAAAATAATCCAGTTCTTGATAGTTTTCTTGTTTTATTTTGCAACTATTTTCTGGTTTGTTCTTTTTTTTTTTCTTTTTTGTAGAACTCTAACAAAGCGGAAAAGTACACATCAACCACAGACAAGTTACAGAAAACATTTAGACTATAGCAAACCAATAACTCCCAATTATCTTACAATGTAGCGTTAAATTTCAGTTGGGAAACGTAAAACTTCTCTCCTAAAATATTCCACAATACTGAAATAATAATTAATAAAATGAACTTGAAGACAAATAGTGTTCAGGGAACAAACGTATCTGGAGGACAGTCTAAGACACCAAGTATTCAGCTGAACAAGTGTTCTGCTTGACTGACCAAATTAAATACCTAAACACTGTCCACTAGGTGTCAGTAAGGTTCTATAATTTAATTTCCAATTCACCATAGGAGAACTAAACAAAACATAATGATGGAGTCAGCACAATGTCAGAGCCACTTTCTTTTTCAAATCCATTGCAACACTCATATGTGACCTTGATACCCTCAGGGAAATTCATTCTTTGGAGGAATTCAGCAATGAGACCCATGTTCTCTACACCTTTATGCATGGGACAATAAGCTAAGAGGAAATAAAAATCTTGTAATTGAGCAGCATTTCATCCATCACTATAAAAGGGAGGTGCGCTCCCCACCAAAAAGAGTGCCATGCGCTCCACGAAGACTTGTGTAGTAATTGTAGGTTTTCCTAGTTGATGTCATTAATTTTGTCAACCTTTCTAAATAACATCAGATCACATTTTCACCCATTTCCGTCCCTATGTGATCACTCCTCTACTTTCAGATCTCTCTCAAGCTAGGTTTTATTGTTGATGATTTGAATAGGGCGTCCGCGCCAATGGTCATTTGCCTTGAGCACTGTTGTGGCTCCACGTGGTGGAGCTCCAAATTTTTGTGGGGATCACTTTGTGCACACCATTTTTCACTCAAACTGTATGTTACTGTTGTAGAGCAGGTTGGTCTGAACCAGGATCTCTATGATGACTCATTTTTGAACATTCAGGAATGAAAATTTAAAATGTTCTGCACTCGCCACAGTGATTGGTAGAGAGAACATTTTATCAGTCACACAAACATTTCAATGTTTTTTTTTTTTCTTGTGTATGCAACATTGTCGGCTAGCTAATTCTGACAAACTTTGCCACATTCTATGCTTTCTCCATTTGATATAAGTGGCTGTCGTGCTTTATAGAGCCTGAAAGCTTCTGAGGTAGCTTGATAACTCTTTTCCTGAATGATCTCGTCACCCATTCTTAAAAGTACTAAGTTCAGTATTCCTGACTGATACATATCAATGATCTCGTCACCCATTCTTAAAAGTACTAAGTTCAGGTCAAAATATGTTGCTTTTTCAGACCTTTATATCCATATTGTCAGGCAGTTTCTGTTTTGTGATTTCTTGATTCTTTGCAATAAACAGGTTGCGATAAATAGAAATCATCCTCCAGCAAATGTGTCACAAATAAACAATGCTGGGATTTTGCTGGTGTTTTTTATCCACTGATTTGCAATTGGGATTTGTGGTTGTATATTTTATACAACCACAAATACATATTTGTGGTTGTATATTTTATACAACCACAAATCCCAGTATAGTTTTATTATCAAGGCACGTTTTTGAAAATGTTGAAATATAAGATTCAAATCCTCTTTTACAATTTCAATGCATGAATAAAAGTAAGATTGTTTTTTTTTTTTTATGTAGACTGTACAATGCGCTATTTTACAAGTGGTTGAAAGATGGTTAAGGTGGTGAAATGTCGACGCGGTTGGGTTTCTACGAGGAGCTGAGCCCGGAATCAGACTCCACACTTCTGTGGTGTATCTTGATGACCTCTAGAAAAATATATTTATGTATTTAAAATGATAGCAGCACAAAGAAACAAAAAATTCTGCACAAACCAGCCCAAAAGTTTGACACCAATTTTGTCTGATTTCATAAAAGTGGGGGGCTGGTTGACCTTGTGACCTTTAACCTTTCATTAATATCTTCAAAGCCAAAGCAGCACAAACAAAAAATTTTGCTGCACAAACGTAGCACAAATGCAACATTCCCGATAAATAGGTACAAGACGAGTTTTCTCTCTGTGTCGGTGTCCAGTAAAACCTTCATAACATAGTGTGGAAGGAGACAAACTATCCTGATAAAGTTGTATCTACCTCAGTCCAACTTTAGACATGGAGATGGTGTGTAGAGACTCTCCTCACAGTGTAAACAATTCTCCCTTCACTGAAAACTAGAATTCACTCTATTGATCAAGTCAATACTGTACAGTTAGTTCGTAGAGGCAAATGGGCTGAGGTAGAAAGATTTCAAAATAAAAGTATTGGATTTTCTATGAATGCTGTTTGGAAAACTAATATATGGTTTACTGTTTGTCTTCAAAGTTTAACACAACTTTCACAAAAAATATCATGGCATGCTATTGTTATAGAAATAAAAGTTCTGCAATTCACCCTGAGAAACTGAGAAAAATATATTCCTGTAGATATAAATTCCTCCAGTCACATAGGAGGACTGGAGGTGTTTTCTTTCCACCAGTATCTTCAAATCTACTTTTGAGTGAGTTTATCTTAAACACTTACCCATTACTATGCCATTATTATTTTTAAACAATCCTTCGAGAAGCTAATTGTTCACATAAAGTACACGTTACAATAAAAAACTTGTTCATGTGCAGTCTCTTGCAGACCACTAGGTCTGAATGACTTAGGTAAATAAATAAATGAAAGCAATTTGATTTAATTCAGTGACAGTCATCTACCAGACATGATTTGATTATTATTTTTGACAGTCGTAAAGATTCAGAACAAAGACACAGAAAATCATATTTTCAGTAAAGTTTTATTTTTAGTGCATGAACAGAATTCTATGTCAAGGTCATA